GAGCACCGGTGTGACGCTTTCCGGAAGAATGCTGAAATAGTAAAATGGTAACTGTAGTAAGATATTTTTATTTTATGCTACGTGAAATATCTATTAACACAATAAAACAACTGTAACCACTTTGATTTTGGAAAGAGGGATACAGATAAACTCGAAACAAATGGCGCTTACAATTTTTACAGTCACTAGCATTAAACAACAATACCTTCAATTCACATGGATTACAAATAAGGATATTTTACAGGAAAAACATCATACAAAGATCATTTTGAAATTTTTGAGCTGCAATAAAATGGTTTCAATTAAACTTACCAAATTTTAGAACTGTTGTAAGTTGTTATCTCCATCAAGACATTTTTGCATACGATTTTTTAAAAGCAAAATGCATCATGCACAGCATTTCTTGGAAATAAAAATTTGATTCAGATGAAGATTAAAGCAAGGTTGCAACATTATAATATGCTCCCAAAGACTAGCTAGATTTTGTCTTTCTGCTGACAGTATTTCAAATGTTTAATGTGCTATGAGTTAATACCACAAAAATATCTTCAGGCAAGAAAAAGTTAAATTTACATACTCTAAATGTTGTACCACTAATAAATGTTAGGCAATTATCCTTCACACTTTAAACTTTTTTAACTACGAGGTCAATGAAGCATATTGTATGCATTATAAAGGAATCTAATTTGAATAGATACTTCAAATATGTCCTCATGATTTATTTTAATGATAAAGGTGAGAAAAATATTTAATAGCTAATATGTTACACTAAATCAATTGAGCCGTTATTGTTTTAAAGTTGAATAAGTCTATTTTGAATTAAACGTCCTTTATTTATTATTTTTTTTAATGATTTTAATAATCATTGTTGGATTTTGATGTTTCATCAAATCACAGTGTAAAAAAACATTACCCAATTTGATTAACCTTTGGCACTACTTCAAAATTTATTTAAACACAAAACTTTAAAAGCCTCGACAATGGTGAAAATAAAAAAATATACCTATTTCACTTACAAAAACAATGGAACAATTGTGAAATATGATTTTGCAGAAATGGAGATAGTGAATCTCATAGTATATGGGTATTTTGCAGGATATAAATCATGAAAGACATAATTCAATGAGTGACTTTAATAATGTTTAGTGAATTAAGATTTCTTTTGTTAATAAATTAAGAGTAGATGAAGTGAAGACTGATGTTAGAATTCTTTTTTTGACTCATACTATGTCAAAAGCACTCTCTTGCACACAGCCTGGTGTGGCCTTGCTTATGAAAAAAAGCGATTAAAACAATAAAATGATATGTAAAACAAAGTAAGATTTTGTTAACAATAAACTAATACAATAATAAAATAGAAATTTATGTTTCACATTTATAAAGCCTTTAATAATATAAAATTCTTTAACAGACAGTGAAATCACTATGTTTTAACAAGCAGATTCAAAAATACTTGCAGCAAAAGAGATTTGAAATTCACATTGATACCTGCACTTGGCTTGCAACTTACATGGATTACAAATATGAATTTTCTTTGTGAACAGCCATGTGTCTTATTAGAGTAGATGTTTGAGTAAAACATTTGTTACAAATAAAACAGCGGAAAGGTTTTTCACCAGTATGAGTTCTAATATGTTTGGTAACATCTGCTTTCAAAACTGCCGAGTAGTTGCAAAACGTACAACGATGTAGCCTAGTTTTCCGGAGGAGTGCTGAAACATCAAAACAATAGGATAACAGAGTTACTATAATACACACTATAATTAATTTACACCACAAAACCATTTAAAGGCTAGAATAAATGCAATATTTTGACAGGAAAGCTTTGAATTAACTCAGAGCAAAAAGCACTTGACGTAAATTACAAATAAGGATTCTTTTTATGAACAGTTATCAAATGTCTGAATAAAGCAGTTTTAACTGTGAAACATTTATTACATAGGTTACATTGAAAGGGTCTTTCACCAGTGTGAGTTCTAATGTGCTTAGTTACATCATTCTTCCTAAAGGCTGAATAGTTGCACAAAGTACAGTGGTGAAGTCTAGCTTTCATGATAAGTGCTGAAACAAAAATATTTCTTGTCACGCAAAACAGTATTACTTTTTAAAAAATTACAGTATCAAAACAATGTTACTTGAACAGTCAAATAAATAAAAAAAACAGAACTATTTGCAAGTACCATTGATCAAAATGAATTTTCAACCATGCAAGGTTATACCAAAGAAGATAAATGGGGGAAGAAAACTAGATTCCATAGACATAAAGTAAACCAGTCCCCCCCCCCCCGAGGTTTGATGTGGTTCCTGTGTATAAAAGAAAAAATACTACTTTTAGAGGCACAACAACAGTGGTTTTAGAAACAGGTTTCCACTTTCTTCTCCAATTCACTGCTGGGGTTGAGGAGAAGAAAAGTTTTCACTTATTATTTTTTGTTATTTGTTCGGCATTTTCATACTATTGATACCATACTATTAACTAAGATATATCTTGGAGAATACATTTATATCATCCATGTTCATTAATCTGCTAACACATTTTGACATAGAAAGAAAGAATAAAATGATGGAGGCAGCATACATGTAAGGTTCTCCAACCAGTTCAGAGGGAACATACCTCATGACTGTCACTTTGCTTTTTATGCGATGGATCTTGGTATCTATGATGCTCTGTTAAATCTGAGTACATTGCTTACCCTGTAAGATGATTTTCTCGTGTAGCATAGCTCACTGAGCAATTTTTCGTGTTAGTTACATACTTGAAGAGCTGGACTTCTTCTCCTTTCTATATTCTATGGTAATACTGCATAATTTTTTTGAATTAATACTGTATAGCTTGAAAGTTACATCGGGAAAAATGAATGTTTATTTAGCATATGGTTTTTGGCAGCAGATTTCACACTGAAGCGTTTGTTACAGACAGAACATTGAAAAGGTTTTTCACCAGTGTGAGTTCTCATATGCCTAATAACATCTCTCTTCTTAACAGCAGAGTAGTGACAATAAATGCACTGATGTTTTTTGTCTTTCCTTGGAATAAGAAATGCTGAAACATTAATATGAAAGTTACTGAAAGAACCACATTTGCTTTCCCTGATACATAAAATACACATTAAGCAATAATGCATCTAAATTATAAATGCTTAAAATATATTATTAGTAAATAATTGAATACTCATTTCAAGATATTTTTAAATAACTGGGGATTTATTCAGGGAAATAACTTTAGTTTATTGACATCATTGAAAAAATTTAGATTCAGCAAATCTAATAACATGCATTATATTTAGTAAATCTAATAACTCTTGATTAACTAAAGCGAGCAGGAATTGTCTCATATTGAATAAATGAGTATATTAAATAATCAAATGTATGCAAATTTTAAGCAATTGTTTTTTATAATATTATAAAAAATATAAGTATAGTGTTGTACAATAGACATATATACAAAAGTGTTATATATACAATTACACAATTATTTAAGAATTTTAAAAAGAAAAAGAATGAAATTAAATTTTAGTATATTAAGATTTACAATTATACTATAGTATATTACATTGTTAAATAGTTAGCTGAACAAATCCACCATAATTGAAGGGTTGAGAAAAATGTAGTCTCTCCATACTTATGCATTTTAAGGCAGAGGGGGGGGGGTGATAATCTGCAAACTGGATAGCTTAGTTCTGATAAATCAAGAGTCTACTGTATTTATTTTAAAACAATAAAAATAGGATTGTAACAAAAAAAAAGCTTAAAACATACCTTTTCTTAAAAAAGTTTTTGTGTAAAACAGATAAGCTCAAAATTTTAATTTAAAAATACAGTTTATTACAAAAATAGAATATGGATTTATTTTAAACATATATATATATACATGCAACAAAAGATGGAATTTTTGTCAGCGGCCCAGAGCTAATGTTGCAATACCAAGAACTTTTTCTGGAACTGAAGTTCATGTCAAAAAGGTTGAGGTTCATTTATTTCACTAATACTAAGCAAAATAAACTACATTTAAGAAGAAGTCTTTTTCGTAGTTCTATCTGTAATAAGAAACGCTCAATCAGATAAACTCTCATAAAATATAGAGTTTAATCATCATATTGATACACCACTCATTAAATATGAATTAAAATTAAATATAGAAAAGAAAACAGAGAGTTCTAATCAGAATAAGTTATTCATTCTATATTATTTTCATTAAAATCATGACCAGCATTTTTGTTACATAATTCCACTCTTTAGCGTGACAAATCAAAAGCTGATTCTAATAATCAGAAAAAGTCATTTTCAAAATTTAGAAAATGATTAATCATCAAGTTGATTTATGACACATCATTGTTTTGAAACAAAAATATGATCATAGAAAAAATGATTTTTGTTGAAACAGAAAAGTTTATTATTTGGCACCCCTTTAACTGATGAGCTACTGGAATAATTTTGACATTTTTTTTTCAAGGCAAGCAAAGGTTCTCCATGGAACATTACGGAAAATAGAAATAAAAACAAGCTTTTTTAAAGAAGGTTCTAAATCCAAAATATTAAATTAATTTTGATGAAACCTTTAAGATATTTTATTTATATTTGAAATATATAAACCGAAATGCTAACTTTTCAAGCTAGTTATCAGTAATTAGAAACACAATAATACAAATAATTTTAACAAATTTTGTATTGCAAAATAGAACATTTTAAGGTGTACTACTATTGAATTCTATACAGGTATATACCTAATGAAAACAATGAATTTATTATTGAATATAAAATTTAAAAAAAGACTGAGTGTTACTTTTATCAAATATTTGCTGCAATCATAAAAATTACATAACCTTATGAAGTTAAGGAAGAAAAACTTACTTTTGAAAGATTATAAAGAAAATTCTCAAAAAACATAAATTTAATTTAAATCATTGTAAATCAGAAATAGAGTAGCTAACTTATAAATTTAAACAAAGCATAGAAACAAAAAAAATTTTATTGAAAAAACATTGACGATTAACATACAGTATTTCAAATATTATACAGTAAAGTAATAGTACACATTAAAAAGAAATTTAAAACTAAACTAATGCTGTCATGAGCAAAAATTGCTGCTAAACATTCAATTTAAGTTAATATAGATGTTTTGAATTATCTAAGAGTAGAAAATATTTACAAGCAAAATTTCTTTAAAAACTGTTAGTTGTAATAATAGCAACTTATAAAATAATAGTTTTAGCTTCAAAATTTCTTAAAGCACAATAAAAACTCAAGTTTTCCTGAAGCTAAGAGAATACCCTAAAATGACTTTCATCAGCAATCATATAATCTGCGAATCAATAATAGCTCAGAATGAATCTTATATGTCAAAAAAATTTGCGTGAAGCTTTACAATACCTCAGAAAATCAAAGCTAAATCAACAAGTTTTAAATAATAAACCAAAAGAATTTTTCAACTCTTCACAAATAGTAGCAAAAATTAATAATTAGTTTGCTCAATTAGTTGCTACGGTTTTTGTAAAACACTTATAGAAGAAAACTTAACCCATTATGTACTGATGGGACTATCGAGTACCTTTAATAATATTTCCATACAGCATTAAATGGAGCAAAATATCCCATCAGAACTTGTCTATCCCTGTAATATGACATTCCTTTCATCAATAGAAGTTGACAACATGTGATTATTTGAAGTTGAACATCTTCTATGGAACTATTCAGTTTTAGTTTGAGGAACTATTAGTTATGGAACGTTTTAGTTAAGTTATATTTTCTATGAGGATGCCATTTTATAATTCTTCAATTCTCAGCTTTCTACCTCAATCAATTTTGCAATGCGTTATTTGATGTGTGTTATTTTGTGTCGCAACACATTAGTCTTTCTTGAGAAAAACTTTCCACAAGTCTCGCATTGAAAAGGTTTTTCACCAGTGTGAGTTCTCATATGCCTAGTAACATCTCTCTTCTTAACAGCAGAGTAGTGACAATAAATGCACTGATGTTTTTTGTCTTTCCTTGGAATAAGAAATGCTGAAACATTAAAATAAAAGCTACTGTAAGAACCACATTCGCTTTCCTTGATACATAAAATACACATTAAGCAAGAATGCATCTAAATTATAAATATTTCAAATATATCATTAGATAATTGAATACTCATTTCACGATATTTTTAAATAAATGGGGATTTATTCAGGGAAATAACTTTAGTTGATTGACATCATTGAAAACATTTAGATGTAGCAAATCAAATAACAACAGGCATTATATTTAGTAAATCTAATAACAATACATAAGTACAATAAACTCTTGATTAACTAAGGAGTGCAGGAATTGTCTTATATTGAATAAATGAGTATAATAAATAATCAAATGTGTGCAAATTTCAAGAAATTTAAAAAAAAAATATTACAAAAAACACATGTATAGTGTTGTACAATAGACATATATACAAAAGTGTTATATATACAATTAAACAATAATTCAAGAATTTTAAAAAGAAAAAGAATGAAACAAAATTTTAGTACATTAAGATTTACAATTATACTATAGTATATTACATTCTTACATAAAGTTAGCTGAACAAATCCAACATAATAGAAGGGTTGAGAAAAATGTGGTCTCTCCCTACTTATACATTTTAAGGCACGGGGGGGGGGGGGNNGGGGGGGGGGGGGCGATAATCTGCAAACTGGATAACCCAGTTCTGATAAATCAAGAGTCTACTGTATTTATTTCAAAATAATAAAAATAGGATTGTAAGAAAAAAAACTTTAAAAGCTAATTATAAAAATACCTTTTTTTAAATAAGTTTTTGTGTAAAACAGATAAGCTCAAAATTTTAATTTAAAAATGAGAATATCACAGTTTATTAAAAAAATAGAATACAGATTTTTTTTAAACATACATATATACATGTAACATATAAAAAAGATGGAATTTTTGTCAGTGGCCCAGAACTAATGTTGCAATGCTATGAACTTTTCCTAGAACTGAAGTTCGTGTCAAAAAAGGTTGAGGTTCATTTATTTCACTAATACTAAGCAAAATAAACTACATTTACAAAGAAATGTCTTTTTCGTAGTTCTATCTGTAATAAGAAACGCTCAATCAGATAAACTCTCATAAAATATAGAGTTTAATCATCATATTGATACACCACTCATTAAATATAAATTAAAATATAGAAAAGAAAACAGGGAAATCTAAGCATAATAAGTTATTCATTCCATATTATTTTCATTAAAATCATGACACAGCCCATTTGTTACTTAACTCCACTCTTTAACTTGAAAAATCAACATGTGATTCTAATAATCAATCAGAAAAACTAATTTTCTAAATTCAGAAAATGATTAATCACCAAGTTGATATATGACATATATATTCCTTGTATACAAAAATATTATCATACAAAAATGTTTTTTGTTGAAACAGAAAAATTTATTATTTGACACTCCTTTAACTGAAGAGCTGCTGGAATAAATTATTTTCTTCAAGCCAAGCAAAGGTTCTCCATGGAACACTAGGATCAAAGGGGATAAACACTAGGGAAAATAGGAATAAAAACAAGCTTTTTTTTTTAAAGACGGTTCTAAATCCAAAATATAAAATTTATTTTAATGAAACTTTTGAGGTATTTTATTTACACTTGGTAAATATAAACAGAGATGTGAACTTTCTAAACAACCTATCAATAATTAAAAGTACAATAATAAAAATAATCTTAACAAATTTTGAAATAGCACACTTCAAGGTGTTTTGATTACTTAATTCTATACAGGTATCTAACTAATATTAAGGATGAGTTAACTATTAAATAAAAAAAAACACAAGCGTTACTTTTATCAGAAATTCACAGCAAACAAGAAAATTTCCTAACTTTAGGAAGTCAAGGAAAAAAAATTATTTTGGAAAGATTATAAAGAAAATTCTCAAAAAATATAGCTTTTATTACTCAGCTGTAACCTTGATAACAAAATTGTAACAATTATGGATAAATTGTAATTATTGGAAACTCTGTATTGATTAAACATGAAATATATGAATTCAATTTTGAAAAGATCGAATTTCTTTTTTACACAGCGATGGCATATTATTAAACTACATATAGAAAACAAAACTCATTAAGAAAAAATAGTTTAATTGTAAAATATTGAGCATTAGGTATTTTCTAAGGTTAACACAATATATATATATATATATATCGGCAGAGCCGGATTAACCTATAGGCACGTGCCTAGGGCCTACAAAATTCAGGGGCCTACAAAAATCTTTGGGAGAAAAAAATTTGTTGACAAAAATAATTTAGCTTTAAAAACAACAAGTGTATTTTGCACAAAATTATAAAGATACATATAAAAATATAATAATTTTCGGTAATAAATTATTTTGCAGAATCTTATGATCTAATATATTACTTTTTCGCGATTTTTGGACTCAACGAAATCTTGTATTAGCTGTCGAATTCCAAAACTACGCAAAATGTCGTATTCAATAGACATAAGTGCGAGCGATGCCAAACGATCATTGTTGAACGCAAATAATTTTTTATCGATTTTAATCTGGAGAAAGATCTTTCTCCTTCTGCATTTGATCCAAGAGTCGACAAATATATACTTAATGCAATGTGAACATTAGGAAAAGTATTCACAAGTTTATCTTTAACATTGTTATCGATCGAACTAATCACAATGGTATTATCGATATCAACTGCAATATCGGTATTATGTCGGTATTGCAGATAAAGTTCGATAAACAAATTTGTAAATTAAAATCCATATTAATAAAAATGTTAAAAAAAATATGCAAGAAAATTTTAGCATATATTTTGAAAAGAGGGGAGGAGTGGGGGAAGGAGGGGAGGGCCCAAAAACGGCTATGCCTAGGGCCCACGAAAGGTATAATCCGGCTCTGTGCCTAGGGCCTACGAAAGGTATAATCCGGCTCTGTATATCGGTATTAATCAACACTTAGCTAATTCTAACCATATTCCTAAATTACCTCACCTCTGAAGTAAACTCACAAAAATAGAGGTATAAAATTTATCTTTTAATTTTAGGCCCTGTGCTAAGCATTCTTTTCCTCGCCAATAAGATCGTTAACTCGGTGAGAAAATTTGTGTTTTGGCAAATTATTCTTTTACTGAAAAAATATATATATATTCTCCTCAATCCTAGAAAATAAAATCCAAAGAAAGGGTCAAAAGGAATTTTTACGTAAAACTCCGGTATATTTTTTTAAAAATTTGAATACAGTAATTTCTGTTTAATACATCGCATGATAAGTTAGAATTATAATAAATCCAGATAATGTCAGCATAAGCAACAGAAGAGATTACATAAGCATAAAACAAACTACCGCAAAATACAGATGAATACGTTCCTTACCCGGTCCAGCAGTATCACGTGAAAACAAATTAATGATGCTTCAGGTTTATCCTTATACTACTGCCCATCTCTAGTCTAGAAAGTAATTAAAAATTAACCCCAACCTATATTTATTTATTTCCCATTCATTGCTCAATTACTCCTCTCCAACTGCAAATAGACTCATCATTTAAATTTTAATGTATTTTCATTTGAAGTTTTTTATGGGAAAACAATCAATCAAAAATTTTTTTTAAGTTTTGCCATTGGTTAAGAGTTTTGAAAATTGGCTAATGCTTTTGATATTTGGCTACTTTACAGGTTAATAATTTTAAGTCTTTAGAACCTGAATTTGTATATCGAGAAATTCTTCAGCTTTCTTTACAAGTTTGAGCTAAGTTTTGCCAATTATAATAATTTTAGATGCAAGTTCATTAGCTAATTAAAATTAACATTTGATTCAATATAACAATACATTCCTACATTGTTCTATAGCATCGAGTGTAGTTAGTCATATTCCCAATCTACTTCAATTGTCAAGACTCAATTATTCAGATGAACAGCCATGTAATATTTACTTCATACGATAAGATTTTTAATTCATATGAGATACTTGAAATGTTATTTTAATTGAAACTCAGCATAAAATAAATATTTAAATTTTTGAGTTAAATCATTGTACATCAGAAATAAAGTAGCTAAGTTAAGAATTTAAACAAAGTATAGAAACAAATAATTTTTTATTGAAAAAACATTGATGATTAACATACAGTAATTAAAAGTAATAGTATACATTAAAAAGAAATTTAAAATTAAACTTCCCTTTTCATTATTTTTTTAAAAAATTAACATAATTAGGAGAATGTTGATTGCATAATAAAAATTGCTCTTGCTATTTGTTGAAAGTGCAATTTTAAAATGAACAAAGAAAGAAGAAATAACATTATTAAAATACAATTTGCAAAATGTTATAAAAATACAATAAAAGTACTTGAGGATATATAGTGATCAGCCTGCTTTTTGTATGAGTAACATTTTTACACCAAACTGATCTGTTATTTCCGTTAAACTGTACATTAAATTGAGCAAAATATCCCATCAAAACTTGAAATATCTCATCAGACCTGTAATATGACTTTCCCTTCATGACAAGTTGACAACATGTGATTATTTGAAGTTGAACATTACCCACGGAACTATTTAGTTTTAGTTTGAGGAACTGTTAGTTATGAAACTTTTTAGTCTAGTTGTATTTTCTATGAAGATGCCATTTTATAATTCTTCAATTCTAAGCTTTCTATAACAATAAATTTTTCAAGTAGGTTTATTGATTCACTAACATTTTCAACTAGATATAAAACAAAGTATTAAATTAAAATTCCATAATGTGGTGCAAGTCCCAAATTAGAAATTTTAAGAAAAATTAAAAATTGATATTGAATATTAAAAAATATTTGTCAGAGTGTAAAAAGACATTATTTAATTAAACAAAAAAAAACTTCACGCATTTTTTTTAATACTTTGGTAAAAATTAAGGTTAACGCAGTTATTAACTATAATTACATAAATGAACAGAACCTTTTTTATTCATTTCTGCTTCTTAAATATTTACTTTACTTTTAGAAAAATTGTGCTTGTAAATAGCATTGGAAAAGTGGGTTTTAGATTGCATGAAAATGATACAGATATTAAAAGCATATTCAATCATTAACAACAATGTCAAACTAATAACAAATTAAGTAAAAACAAATCATTTTAAATATCAATAACACCTACAGTTAAACACTACATACAAATTTGCTATTACTTTTTATAATTAAGATAAAAATGTATAATAATAATCCTTTGATACTGTTTTAACTATTATTTTTGTGCTTCTAGATAAAACTTTATTATTCACAAAGGAAAAAACAACTGTAAACACATTTACAAAACCTTAGCTTCACTGCTTTGCACTTTTGCTAAAATATATTCAAAAGTTAGATACTATTAATTCTCATTTTAAACAAAAACAAGAAATAAAAAGTTCTATTTTCTAGGAATTTGTAGGGCCCATCATATCGTATCATTCTGCGATTTCTGGGTAAAGAACTTCAGTTATATTATGAATAACAAAATATATTGAAAATCAATAAAACATGTAATTAAAGAAATTACAAGCACTATGAAAAATGTGAAAACATGACAAGCACTAACATTTCCAGGAAATGTTATTGTGCGTACCATACACACATGGATATTATGTAACACTTCACATACAAGATTTATAATGAGTAAGCATGTGCATTTTTAAGATACTTTTCCGATTAAAGCATTTCTTACAAATTGTACACTGATAAGGTTTTTCACCAGTGTGAGTTCTAATGTGCCTTGTCAGATCTGTCTTGAAAATTGTACAGTAAGAACAAAAATGACAATGATGTATGCCACTCTTCTTCAAAAGTACTGAAAAACCAAAAGAAAAGTTTGATAAAATGGACTTATTTTAAGTTTGCCACAAACAGTTACATAGTGTGTGCATGAAATTACATTACAATTAAAATTAAATTACATTTAAAATTATAAATACAAAAAAAAATTATAAACAACAAATGGACATTTTAGGCTACAGATACTTTAACAGAAAGATCACAAACTTAGAAGTGGGAATTTAACCGCGGCTGAGCGGTAGCACTTCGTGCTGTCGTGCCACAGGTCCCTGGTTCGATCCTGGGGCCGGGCAAGGTTTACTCAGCCTTTCATCCCTTCAGTGGTTCGATAAATGAGTACCAAGCATGCTTGGGAAAACACTGGGGGTTCCCCGTTCGGCTGACCACCTGACCGGAACATCTGCTCCTGCACACCAGAGTGCAAGGTCAAGAAAACTGAGATGGGCACATTAGGCCTTGGCCCTCTATGGGCTGTAGCGCCACTGAGTTTAGTTTTAGTAAACATAAAAAAGGGAATAGACATTTTATTTTATAGTTCAAAACGTTCATTTTTAACTCCAGAATTCCTGTGCATCTGTGACATTGAAGCATTTATTTCCATCATACAATTTCTTGGCCTATAATAAGTAAAATAAATTTAAAACTACCGATATGCGAGCATCCGTCTTCAGTTAATCAGTAAATAAGAATATTTAATAATTTTTTTTAAATAATTATTTTAATAAAAGGTATAATAATAAATAATTCCCTAATATTGTTTTAACTATTTTGTTGTGTGTATTTCAAGACAAAAATGTATTATTTACAAAGAAACAAACAATTATAAACGTCTACAAAAACTTAGCCTCACTGCTTTGCACTTCTAGTAAAAAATATGCAAAATTAAAATATAAGATCTTCTTTTAAACAAAAATAAGAAATAAAAACTTCAGTTCTATTATAAAAAATCATAAAATATATCTAAAAACAAAGAAATATGCAGCTAAAGAAATTACAAGCAGTATGAAAAATTTCCACATATGATACAAGCATTAACATTTCCAGGAAATGTTATTGTGAGTACAACACATACATGCATGTCATGTAACACTTCACATAGAAGACTTATAATGAATAAGCATGTGCATCTTTAAATTGCCCTTCCGATTAAAGTGTTTCTTACAAATGGTGCACTGATAAGGTTTTTCACCAGTGTGAGTTCTGATGTGTCTTGTTAGATCTGTCTTGAAAATGGTAGAATAAGAACAAAATTGACAATGATGTATGCCACTCTTCCTCAAAATGACTGAAAAACCAAAAGAAAAGTTTGATAAAATGGACTTTTGCCACAAACAGATACATAGTCTGTACATGAAATTTAAAGAAAAATCATTGTGATTTCACACATTGAAAATTGTCCAGTAAATTTTTAAAATTTATAAATACAATTTTTTTTTTCTCTAAGTTGTAAATGCACATTTTAAATTACCGATACCTAAACAGAATGTTCACAATCTTAGAGGTGAGAATTTAATAATCTAGTAAATAAAAAAAGGGAATAGATATTTTATTTTATAATTCAAAACATTCGTTTTTGCCCAACTTTTTTACTGCAGAATTCATTTGAGTCTGTGACATTGAAGCATTTATTTCTATCAAACAACTACTTTCCCTTTAATATGTAGAATAAATATACCTAAAACTACTGATATGCAAGCAGAGCAGTAAACCAGCAGTCTTCCAGCTAATCAGTAAATAAAAATCTTATGAATAATATAAAAAATACAGTAGGGAACCGATTATCCGGAACGATCGGGACCATCGCTATTCCGGATAACTGATTTTTCCGGTTTTCTGAATCGCTACAAAAAGCCGTCTTTTTTTATTGTTAAACCCAACTAAAAAAAAAAAAAATTTGGAAATAATCTTAAAACGAAGTAATACACTAATGATTATTTCCAAAATGAAGGTAAGATAAACATCTTTCAAAGTAGAAAGAAAAATCCTAAAATCTTATGAGGAAAAAAAAAATTTTCTTTTGAAAATAGCGGGGAAATGTATGGAATTTCATTCCGGTTTTTTTGGTTTTCCGGTTTTCTGATTTCCAGATAACGGGTTCTGTACTGTATATATTAAATATTTTTTTAGAGTTTATTGAAAAAAATATTTAATATATTTTTTTATAATTATTTTAATAAAATATATAATAAAATGTATATATTCTCTAATATTATTTTAACTATTTCTTTGTGTGTATTTTAAGAGAAAAATGCATTATTTACAAAGAAAAAAAACAAACAATTGCAAAAACTGAGCTTCACTGATTTTCACTTTTAGTAAAAAATATGCAAAATTAAATCTCCTTTTAAACAACAATAAGAAAGGAAAACTTCAGTTCTATCATAACAAATTAGAAAATATATTGAAAATCAATAAAACATGTAATTAAAGAAATTACAAGGAATAGGAAAAATTTTCACATATGACACAAGCATTAACATTTATAGGAAATGTTATTGTGAGTACAATACACACATGCATTACATGTAATACTTCACATGGATCACTTATAATGAGTAAGCATGTGCATCTTTAAATTGCCCTTCTGATTAAAGCGTTTCTTACAAATGGCACACTGATAAGGTTTTTCACCAGTGTGAGTTCTGATGTGCCTTGTTAGATCTGTCTTGAAAATTGTAGAATAAGAACAAAAATGACAATGATGTATGCCACTCTTCCTCAAAATGACTGAAAAACCAAAAGAAAAGTTTGATAAAACAGACTTATATTATTCTTGTAACAAACAGATACACTAGAGGGTACATAATTTTTTTAAAAAAAAAAGAGAAAATCTTTGGGTTTTCAAACCTTAAAATTTTTACAGTCAATTTGTAAAAATTATAAGCACAAATAAATTTTTCTCTAAATTAAAAATTGACACTTTAAATTACAGATACCTTAACAGAATGCTCACAACCTTAGAGGTAGTAATTTAGCTGTCTAGTTAATAAAAACAGGGAATAGATTTTTTTTTTCCAAAACATTTATTTTCACCCAATTTTTTTCTCCAAGCTTCGCTTGCATTTGTGACAGTTAAACATTTATTATCAACCCATTACTTTGCCTATAATAAGTAGAATAAATCTAAAACTATTGATATACAAGAAGAGCAATCTCATCATCAGTCTTCCAGCTAATAAGTAAATAAAAATCTACAATTAATTAATAAAAAATATTAAATCCTTTTTAGAATTTTTTCATAAAACGATTTCATATAAGTAAAACTGAATTCCATAAACTAGAAATTAAAATAATTGATTTTTTTGCAATACTTTATGATTTGATTAAAATGTACTATTATTAGGCATATTTTGCTGACTCAGTTCTTCAAATAACACAGAATTATATAAATTTCAGTTATCACTACAAATATTAAAAAAAAATTTTTTTTAATTTTTAATACTTTTTTCAAAAACTTATTATTAAAAGTGAGTGTAGTACAGAAAATTAAAAGCACATTGTATTTTTCATGCTAAAAATAGTGAGAAATCAATTTTAGATGAACAATATGAATAAACATGTTTTGAAAACTAATGTACACAAATGTTTGTTCGCTTTAAGCTTTATTTTTCTGTTTAACAATAAAATTTTATCAATAACAAATATAAAAACCAATTGTTAACTTTAATAAAAACTAAGCTTTGCATTTTTTTTCAAAGATATACAAAAGTAAAACACAATTCTCATTTTAAGCTTCAAAATAAAAAGGTTGGACTTTCAAATAGCTAGAGTGGTTTTGAAATCGGATGGCAAAGAACTTTTATACCACTATAATAAATTACAAAACATATAAAAAAATAACAATGTACATAAATATAAATGAGATTATAAAAAGCATGAAAATTGTCTATGTCCACACATTATTTTCACATGGCTAACTTATAATGAGTATGTAAGTGCTTCTTTAAATTGCACTTCTGATTAAAAGATTTTTTGCAAACGTTGCACTGATAGGGTTTTTCCCCAGTGTGAGTTCTGATATGCCTTGTTAGGTCTGCTTTGAAAACCGTTGAATAAGGACAAAAATTACAATGATGTATTCCACACTTCTTCCAAAATGCTGAAAAACCAAAAAGAAAAGTTTGAAAAAATGCACATATTTCATGCTTGTTATAGAAAGTAATGAGTACAGAGAGTCATAATAGGAAAATAAATCATCCTCAATAACTTTTGTTCCAATGATTAGATTTACACAAACTAAGTGCCAATTTAAAGATTAATTTTTACCATGGGAATTAGTAATAGGTGCCAATAAGCTACGAAATCAAACATGCTTTCTCTAAAGTAACAGTCCCTTTTTTTGTGCACTGATTTGAAGTTGGGATAAGCAAAATATGGGCAATAGGGCTCAAAGGACAGCAATTGAAAATTGAAGCTATCTCATGCCAATTTCAATTTTTGCAAATCTCACTATATCTCAGGAATTTTTTTTATGAGATTAAAAACTTTTGCACATAATTGTAAATACATCCTATGTAATTTTAAGTAACCAAATAAAACATTTGAAAGAAATCAGTTGAATAGTCATTAAGAAATGAAATTTTAAAATACAACTTTATAAATTGTTTACATACATTGTTACTTTATAAATTGTTGTTATAAATAAAATTTATAGATTGTTCATGGCAGTGCAACCTGGGAAAAGGGATAAAACAAAGTAAAATTGAATAAACAAATGGTTAAATAGAATTATATAACAATAAGGATGATTGCAGCAATACAACACCTCTGCTTCTCAATCATGACGAGTTCTAACGTGCTTAGTTACAAGATTGTACTTTAGCAACCGCTTGAAAAGTTAGAAAGAGTAAAATAATTTTTAATTTTTTAGATAAATTAAATAGTTTATCAAACTTTTCGGTGCTCAGAAATTAGATTAATTATTATCAATGCAAAAAAAAATTTTAAGTATAAATATATATGTATCATCTAACATACCACTAACTCTGGCAGATAAAGTAAAATGAAAACACCAAACTTTCAGCTCTATAAACCCTTCTTTATGTTTTATTTAAACAAGTTTTTATCAGAACTCAGTTTAAAAACAATGTTAATAAAAGTTAAACTGAATTTAATAACCATGCCACTAAGCTCATGCAAGCAAATTTTAAAAAAATAATAATGCCACAGCGTGGTAACACCAATGTTTCCAGATAACACAACACATATCTTAGACAAACTATACATACATATTTTTTTCAAGTATTATCAATTACATGAACAACTTGCATAGAAGTTTTTTTTTTAAATTTTAACAATTATTAAACATTAAAAATTCTTTTAAATGAGCTTCATAATTTAAAATTAAAGAGACTTTTAAGTAATTCTAAAAAAATAAAAGAAAGAAGGTTGACCAAATTTAACTTTGCTCATTTTAAAGCAGTATCGTAAACATGGGTTACTTTGATCCTTTTTTTTCTTCAAAGTTTGGAATGTAAGAAATTTAGGTCAGTAAAAAAAGGTGCATATTAGTTTTGGACATTTCAAATTATTATTTGTCATAAATATGTGTTTTTAGTAAGAGAATAATTCATTTATTAAAAGTTTCAAAGGCCATATTAAAAACAAGGATATAGAAAAAAGGACAAGGAGTATCCAGTGCTTGAGGTCACTTTGTACTTATTTTATTTATCTAAAATTACAATAACAAAATTACATCTGAATATACATTTCTCAGAAATAAAATTCTTTCTCAGAAAGTACATTATATAAACAGAATGCTTTTTCTCATATTATTTCATAAAATGATTTTTTTTAAAAAAAACTGAACTAATTAAAAAACTAGAGATAACTTGAAGATAAATGAAATAATTCCAAAAAACTTATTTTATCAAAAGATTTCATGTAACACAGGAGTTACATTTTAAATTAAATGTCAAAATAGAAATACAATTGCAGAAATCATATAAAGCTTTCTTGCTCCTTCATTGAGCAAGGATAAAGTTTTTAGTAATTTTGGGAGCTAAAATGTTACAATGTAGGCTTGGACCTAAGTTTCCTTTATCGACATTATGTTATGTTGTACAAAAATAAACAAAAGAACAACATATTGTAACATTTTATCATTCGTTACTTTTGAATTTCGTTTTTTAATTTTTACTTTCTATTACAAAAAAAATTCCAGAACTAAAAATATTGTAATGTTTTACAGAGTTTACAATATGTCACCTGAAGCTACTACAACATAAAAACTCCCAAAAGCTTAAAATATATTTTATTGATCTCATGACCGATAAATTCAATCATGATAAATTACAACTTTAAAATGGTAGATCTTCTTTTTTGTTGCAAAGATGGGGGAAAAATAACCCTAGTCTGATAGTCTGAACACATATAACAATTATTTTTTTAGAAATATTTCAAGAAACACTTGCAATTAACACTCATTAAAAATGTTCTTTAGAATCATCATTTGTTTAGTCGATATTGGTTTCTGAAATAAGTCTTCCAGGTGTGTGGATTATGGTGTGCTTTCTAACATTGTTCTTCCAACTGCTTGAATAATTGCAGAAAGCACAGTGATATGGTTTAAGACCAGTGTGGATGCTTGTATGCCTGGTTAGATCATTTTTTCTAAAGCTTGAATAGTTGCAAAATTCACATTGATGTTTCTTATGAAGAGCTGGAAAATTTAAATAGATATTGTTACAGAATTAAATGAATGAAAGAAAACCGCTTCTGATTTACATATTTACACAAAAATGATTCTCAAATTTTCATGTGAGTAAACATATGACCTCTCAATACTGATTTCTGACTAAAACATTTCCCACAAGTTCCACATTGGAAAGGTTTCTCACCAGTGTGGGTCCTTATGTGTCTTGTTAAATCATTTTTCCAAATGCTTGAGTAATTGCAAAAAGTGCACTGATGTAGTCTACCCTTCCTGGAAAAAGCTGCAAAATTTAAACAGAAATCGTTAAAAGAAATTGTGATGCTTAAAATTTTGGGGGACTTTAAAAACTAGATAAACCATTTACAGAAACACTTTTTTTAGATTAACACATTTTTTCCAGTCATTATTTACACCCTTTTATACAAAAGAAGGAATAAAAGAAAATTCTCAAATTGTTTTAAAAAATTACATAAAATTTAATGTATTAATGCAAAAAGAATTAATCTTTAAAATGAGTTTTATAACCAAAATTAGGAAACAAACATTTTTAGATAAATAGCTAAAAGACAACAGTCACAATTCAAACCGTATCGTGTGCAGCTCTTGTACACTTAACCTCGGAGGATAATGTCTGTCGATTGGAATTATGTATCAGAATGCTGGAAGCATTACAAGATGACGATTTTTCTGACAAATTGACGTTTATAGCAGTTCTTTTAAGTTTTCATTTCGAAGAAAACTATAACTCAGCTTATTTCATTCATTTTCAGCTTATGCATATTCACCAGATTCATAACTAGATTAGACATAGAAGGACTGCAAATTTAACTGTCGGTTTTAAAACCTAATATAAAATTAATGAGTGTGGGTAGATGCACTACAATGACAAAACAATAAAAATAATCATTTCTCTAATTAAATATAGTCTTCTATAATTTATAAAGTTCACAGTTACCTAAATAAACCTTGGTTATAAGGTCAGGGTTCCGCCAAAACAAGGAGGATCACTTCGGTTTCTGTAGCCGAAGAAAATTGGGAATAGCTGATCTAAACTAAAAGGTGACACAACTTTCACTCAGTCACTAGAATTCAGAATCTCATTGTACTTAGATGGTTACATCTAAATTCATTAGATGGTAATAAACTTCCCTTTCCTACCATCTCGGAAGATTTACACTTTAGCTGAGAAAGATAAAACATAACCAACAAAAAAGTATCAGAAATTTTGTGCAATGAGATCTGTCTTGCTTAGTCTCTTTATTTACTGCATTTGATTCCATTCATTGCTTAAAAAAGCAACTTAATCTTTTTGAGGCTGAATAATCACTTTTTTGTGAAAGGTCGACACTTTTCGGTCAACCTCACATTGAACATTCTGATGAAATAAAAGATTGAATTTACAACAAAACTGTAAGTATAAGCATTAATAATGAAAATAGTTAACTGAGAGTGGTGACAATAAAGAATAGTGTAACATCAGCATTCAATAAAAACAGGCGATTAGCAAAATGAAGGAAATGGCACATAATAATTTACACAATATCGATACCATCAAAAACATTAATATACCCTGCAGACAATTTACTCATAACTTTAAAGAAATCAAAATAACTAAATATAAGAAAGCTTGACCCTACAGCCAATGATACTGCCATCTAGTGACAGGCCAAACTATTACTACAGGAACTAAACAGTTTTCTGGTGTAGCAAATTTAATGTTGTTGATTGAGGAAAAGTTAAAAGAGACGTATCTAACTAATAACCGATAATTTTCAATTGCTTTTTTTTTTAAAGAGTAGTTAGTGGATAAAATTTCTATTAAGGATAAATTCCTTTTGTCGATTATATGATGCTGAATTCTATGAGAAGCGGTCAAAAAATGACTGATACTTCCATTGCTCTTCCAGCACAGAACTACAGTTTAAACTTGATTACACAGCTAGGCAGATGGTGTAGTATTTTTTATTTAATAACAATTCTATTTGGTGTTTAATTACAATACATACTGCCAATAAACTGGACAGTATTAGTTTCAAATTTACATTGCCTTCAGACACAGATTTCCAGAGAGTTATTAAGTGCTCCAGCTAGTCAGAAAGCGGTTGAAATTTTAAAAACAAAATTCCAACCACACAGGACAATTTAATCACAAAGACAAGTTAATAAAAACACAATCATAAAATAAATTAACAGAGTGAAAATGTATTTATTTTGTAAGATATTTGCAGAAAAATTAGTTAAAATTTGCACAATATGCATCACAAAAAATAAAAATTATGTTTTCGTGTGAGTAGCAATTATATGAGTTTTCAAACTAGAACTCTGAGTAAAACACTTTCCACAAGATCCACATTGAAAGGGTTTCTCGCCAGTATGGGTTCTCATATGTCTCTTTACATTTTTCCTCCAATCACTTGAATAGGTGCAAAGACTACAGCGAAATTTTTTCGAATCTTTGGTGGTTCTTTCGTGTCTTGCTATATCCCAATTCAAAATACTTGAATGGTTGTAAAAATTACTTTGATGTATTCCAACTTGCTTAGCAAAATCTAAAAATGTAAAATAGAAATTTTTAAAAAAATAGGGAAGTTTTATTATCATGGTGCTAAAAAAGTGAACAAAATCTTTATAAATAAATATTATAGCTTTAAATTTCTTTTTTATATTTTATTATATACTGCAAAACTAAGAGGGGTAATTTTAGTAATTTTTAAAGATAGTTAAAAATTTAGTTCATTATTATACATTTGAAATCTTAAAATAATATATAAAACTTTATGATCCAGAAATAAAACACCTAACGAGACAAAATTACATCTAAGTGTAATTTTTTTTAACTTGAAATTACATAAATCTTTACTCTAATATTTAATGAGAGAATAATTGCAATAAAATTTTGTTTACTAATTACTCTCTTTCTTAAATTTATTTTTAGAAGAAATTAGAAGAATTAATGAAAAAAAATTGCACGGATCATTTTAAAATAGAACTTTCTATAATATGTTTTCGGACAATACATTTAAAAAGACTGGTGTTAGACAATTTTTGTAGCCAGATATTTATATAGTTTTATTGAGAAGAATTTATCTATACAACTAATTTATAATTATTTCATCATGTAATCATGTCTAAAAATTATTTTAGACATGATTACAAGATTAAAATAAAATAAAAACAAGTCAATTATATAAATATTTTGTATAAATTATGTGAAATAATTGGCTTTAGATGACACACTATAAAATAATATGAATGAGATGGCACTAAAATAAGTGCCATCCACGAGTAGATACAAGAAGAGAAGCAGGTACAGTTAACTCTTGTTAATTCAAACTCAAAGAGAGACATAAAAAACATGCTATAATAAACAGCTATAGAATTAAGAGTTTAATTAAGTTGAAAAGCATTAAGTTAAAATATATTTAAAGAATAAAATATACTTAATTTTAACGGTATGAGTGACGTCAGAACGTCATTGATCTAGCAGGAATTTCCCGTGTACCATAATTGGTAAAATTCCTGTTTTCTCCACTTTGAAGTTTCAAGTTCTTAATAAAGATGAAAATACGTTTTGCATTGTTCCATATTTTTTCTTGTACCACTTTTTTTTTACATTACAATTTATTTCCTTGAAAGTTTTCTTTTTTTTGTGTGTGTGTGTACTTACTCAGGCTTTAAGTTTTGAAATTGTAGTCTTGAAAGAATAAACAGTTGAACTTGAAGTGTTGTTATTTTCTTATAGCATGTTTTAAATATGTGGTTATGCAATGGTAAGATTACAAACTTATCTCACGACGATTAAGTTTACCAGACTGCTTCATTGACTTATAAAAACTTTGACCGCACATTGCCGCTATACATTTTTCAGAAAAAAATTGTAATTGCACTAAAATGACTCATAAAGATTAAAAAATATACTCAGAGATAAACAAATAATAACAATGAATAACTCAAAACAAAAATATATATATATAATTTTTACTTTGTGCTCAACAAGAAATTTGAGAAGACTTATTATTTGTTCATATAACTTAATATATTGAATTAAAATGAGTTTCCTATATTTAAAAAAAAATTAAAACACATATTTATTTTGCAGAGTATATGGAGAAAAAAACACTATTATTTTACATTGATTACAAAAAAATACTATAAAAGTTTCATGTGAGTTAACATATGAGTTTTCAAACTAGATTTTTCAGAAAAACATCTTCCACATAGGCCACATGGAAAGGGTTTTTCTCCAGTGTGAACTTTCATGTGTCTGGTTATACCCCTTTTCCAAGTGCTTGAGTAGTCACAAAGATGGCAGTGAAAGGGTTTTTCACCTGTGTGAATTCTTATGTGTTTCGTAACGTCATTCTTATAAATGCTTGAATAGTTGCAAAACGTACACTGATGCAACTTTTTCACAAGAGCTGAAAAATTTAAAGAAAATATTTATATTTTTCTGGAGTTATTTAAAAATGCATTAAAAATTCACACCATAAATACTTTTAAGATTTCATATAAACTTTTCTTTCTTTCAAAAATATATATATCAGTGAGTAAACATTAAAAAAGCAAAGCATAATTCATAATATATTTTCATAGTTTTAATAATTTATTTAACATCAATTATGCCACCCTTTAAAAACCACAACATAAAATTGCAGCAGGTTGTTTAAATTTTTTAATGGAATTTAATAGAGACATCTTATAGGATAATCATAATGAATACTTGAAAAGATAAGATTTAAAAAATGGTTTAAAAAAAATTATAAATCAATCTGCAATTTATATCAATTACAAACAAATTAAAAGACACATTTATTTTGCAGAATAGGTAAGAAAACACTTTTATTTTGCATTAATTGCAAAAAAGTAGTATGAATGCTTCATGTGAGTTTTCAAACTAGATTATTGAGAGAAACATCTTCCGCAAAGGTCACATGGAAAGAGTTTTTCACCAGTGTGGACTGGTTATGCCTCTCTTAAAAGTGTTCGAGTAGTCACAAAGATCGCAACAAAAAGGTTTTTCACCTGTGTGAATTCTCATGTGATTCGTTACATCATTCATATGAACGCTTGAATAGTTACAAAATGTACACTGATGCACTTATTCGGTAAAAGCTGAAAAATTTAAAGATAATTTTTTTTTTTTGAGTTACTTAAAAATTCATTAAAAACTCACACAAAACATTTTTAAGATTTTTTTAAAAATTTGATAATTGTAATAAGAAGCAAAGATGTAAATCATAAATAATTCCCCTCCCCCTTTTACACAGTTATTTATGATAAAGAATTCTTTTTAAATTACTATTGCACAAAATTGTAAGAGTTCTTTCAATTTTTTATTACTATTCTTTACCACAGAATGCAATAAATACATTTAATAGGACAAACGATTAAATAACTTAATCAAAAGAGACTATAAAAAAACTTAAAAGGAAAAAAAATCCCTGCAAATATGTGTATTTCATATGTGTTTAGTAACATAATTCTTATAAATGCTTGAATAGAAACAAAATGTACATTAACATACTTTTTTGGTACGAGCAATACAATTTAAAGAAAATATTTTACCAATTTATTTTATCAAATATTTTTTAAGTTACTGAAAGATTAAATAAAAATTCACCCAAATGGTATTATTCATGAATTTTCTTTTTTGATATGATTAAGTATTATAACTAGATAAAGGATATAATTAATAATTATCTTTGTGATAAACAGTTATTTAACTTTTACATTAAGAACATTTTTTTAAAAATTAGCACATAACCTTAATAGGTTTTTTTTTTCCTCTTTTGCACTTCTATAGTTTTGCATTTCTGTAAGTATAAAAAGTATTATCTAAATAAAAACAAAATAGAAAAAAGAAAGGAAAGCAATTTATTTTTTAAAACATAAAAACACGCTTAAATTACATTGGTAACAAAAAGAATAGTTATTTCATTTTCATGTGAGATAACATAGATCCTTCAAGTTCATTTCAAAACATTTGCCACAGGTGCAATTTTCAATGGGTTTTTCACAAATATGTATTTTCATATACTTGTGCAGATCATTCTTCCAAAAGATCAAGTAGTTACAAAGATTGCATTGTAGGCCATTCGTTCTAAGCTATGGTCAAGCAATCACTTTGAAGACTGCACATATGAAGGGGAAGAAAAAACAAAGAATAACGGGTGATTATCATCCATGTCTGGATCAGAACTGGCTTTGAATCATTAAATATGATACATAAACAAAGTCAATCATCATGTCCAGTCTTACACAAATCAAATAATATTCATTTTAAAATAAAATTAAAACTTTTTTAAAAAAAAAATTCAAATGCAAGTTTTAAAAAAGACACACATAAAAAAAAGAATCTACTTTCCATCGGGTTAACTGTGGGAGATTCTCAAAATTTTCCTCTCAATGTAAAGTAAATACGGGTTAGTTTCATCAAAAAGTCCTCTTTGATGAAACTAACCCGTTTGAAGGCAAATTTCTCTCAATACTTAATGCACGAGTTCTCTTGTCTTCTGTATTAGGTTCAAAAATAAAAGGCTACGGAGTTGAACATTGGTAGTCGTAAACCCAAAATTGGGCCGGCTATAAAATAAAAATAAAATATTCATATTGAGATTTTCTTTAAAAGGTAGAACATGTGATATCTTTGCCTAAAACATCTGCTACAGTTGAAAGTTTTTTATGTTGTGGTACTTGGTACAGACGTTCAAACTCAGAACTCTATCGGGCCCTTAGAGAGCCTGATGTTGTCAAGTACGTAAAAATTCAAAGAATTAAATGGGCTGGTCACATCATTCGAATGAACAGAGAGCGTTCGACAAACATAATCTTTTTGGCTCAGCCCATCGGATCAAGGCCCAGAGGTCGACCAAAGCTGAGATGGACCGACTGCGTGGAAAGAGACTTTTCAGTCTTAAAAGTCTCAAACTGGAAGATAACTGCCAGGCGGAGGCAGGCCTGGAGGAAGTTGATTGAGAAGGCCAGGGCCCACCCGGGGCTGTCGTGCCATTGAGGAAGGAAGGAAGGACAACATTTTCTCTGCTAAAATGAGTGGACTTTTAGTATCTAATGTTAAATATCTTTATATATGTGAATTTTATGATGCTATTCCTAAAAAGATTACGTCTTGCAAAAAATACATTTTGATAAATAAAGCTTAATCTTACTGATAACTAAAGACATTTAAGAAATATTAAAAATATCTATTGGGTTGGCACGGACAATGGTAATGATAATAATTTATTATGAAGTATAATCAGTAGAAATCATGAGATGAATCAAACAATAACATAAAACAAGTAATTATAACATAACAGTAATCAAACCATAAATAAGCAATCATGACATAACAATAATCATAACATAAATTAACAGCTTCTAAGAGAAGAAATGTGAATAGGTTAATTATCAATGTGTACAACCATTTCCATCATATCTGTCTAAGTTCCATTATCAGTAATTGTTAATTATGTAAATTTGTATTCATTACAAAATTTTAAATTACAGTGCTGCAAAAATCTATTGAAAAAAATTCAATATCACTAATAAAAACAATAGTTTTTAACTCCTTAGAAATTCATATTCCCACATATTTTAAATATGATATAATAAAAAATAATAATTTCCTTTAGCTAAATAGATGATAATTAATAGTCAGTGATAAAACTAACTAAATTACTTCATTAAAACATTTATACATTAACACTTCTGCATCTTCAAATGTCTCAGCATGTGGATTTTCAAGTTTGATGCCCTGCTAAACTGTTTGGAGCAAACGCTACACTGATGGGGTTTTTCACCTGTGTGAATTCTGAAGTGTCTGTTAAGACATGACTTCCAACTGCTTTTGAAATTGCAAAAAGGACACTGATGAAAAACACTTGTTCCAGAAAAAGCTGAAAAATTAAAACAGATTATTTATAATTGAAATAGTGGATTTATTCTATAAGGGAATAATTTATTTTGAAATAATGCGGCTACAGAACATCATTCCATTCTTTATTATTAATGCTAACTGCATGGAAAAAGTATACATTCTTCGAATAAATGCCTCAGAAAACTGAACTATTATTTTAGTTTATATGTATACACATATAATTTTATTATTTAATATAATAATTAGCAAAAATTGCATAATTTATGTTTTTTTTATTATAATTCTTTATTAGACATGACAATAAAGCACAGTTTTAAGATATGTTTAAGATATTTAAATTTTGCTAACATATAATTAATCCACACACAACAAGATTTTAATAAGCTTTATCAAAAAAACAAAAAATTCTCATAAAAATCGATTAGAAATTTTTTTAAATAATTGGGCCAGAAGAAAATTACTTTTCATTCCACAGAAATATTAGTTACGAAGAAATATAGGTTATAAGACATTATAAATCAATAGTTTTTTGTAATAATACAATTAGGTACAATATTAAAACACTTCATACAGAAATTTTGAAAAAAAAAATTTAAGTTCTACTTATAGTAATTGTTAAGAAATCATAACAAAATTTTTAATGACAGAGCAATATACTTAATGTCTTTAGAAATTTAACTCCTACATATTTCACATAAATACGATGGTTGATTCTTAAGTAAGGGTCATTTGAAAATAAAAACCAAACAAAAGAAAATTTCAAGAAGCAAATTTATTTTCAGATTCCACATGTGTTTATCTTTTTCTCAGCATAGTTACAAAGTTTGTTTAAACACTTATCATACCTTACAACTAGATTCTAGGCCCTTTTCATACAAATTTGTCGCATGCTCCGTTAAACAAGAGGTCGCAGCCGGTTTCACATATTCGTCTTTGATATAGAGATTGCTGCCAAAATGATGCTTGAAGTATTGAAAAAGACGGAAATCACTCAGACCAAAGTCTGGGATTTAGGGAGGGGTGGTCAAACACTTTCCAACCAACAGAGTCCAATATAGCTGAGACCTGGGCTGTGGAGAGAGTCGCTGTCATAGAGTAGCAAAATTTCCTGTCAGCATGGAAGGGAATTTTGCTAATTCACAAATCTGCCAGCGAATCTATGTAGTAGACAGATTTTTTGCCAACTAAAAACGCATCACTGACCATGTCTCATGCATGATTCGACGAGTGATTTTAAATTTTATATCCGTCGTTGAACAGCCGACCCAATTTTTAGGTTTAGACTACTAATGGTTCAACTCTGTAGCCTTGTAATTTTAAATCAATCTAGAAGACAAGGAAACTCGTGGATCAGTACTCCTAGAGGTATTGATTTGTTATGGGAACATGGAGGACTTTGAGACTCAACAGATTTAACATGCACCAGTAACCATTTACTAAATGGGGAGTCTTCGGCAGGTGAGGATCGAACTCACGACCTCTTGGACAAAGACCCATTGTCCTACCAACCAGACTATCCCGGCCCTATGACAAGCAATTTGTTAAATTTGAACATTTTAAAGACACAGAGCTGATCTGACAGTTTTATTACACAGCTGCAACTGAGGACAGTTGTTCCCAAGGAATGCCGAGACACGACACAAGCATGTGTCACCTATTAGGGTACACCACAAAACGAACTTACTTAAAAAACAACTAAAACTAATAAATTACAGTGGCTGAAACAAAGTCAATGTCTTTAAGTTCAAGTTCTAGACAGTCTATCATAAGACTATCTGATATAAACATCTATTCACATGAGCTGCGGCCTTGAATGTGTAAACATGTGGCTCTTCAATGTTGAATTTCTATTAAAACGCTTGTAGCAAATGTTGCATTGAAAAGGTTTTTCACCAGTGTGAATTCTAATGTGCCTCGTTAGAACAGACTTCCAAACGCTTTCATAATTGCAAAAAGGGCATCGATGAATTACACTTGTTCCAGGAAAAGCTGAAAAATTACAATATATTCATAATTTTTTCAATAACAGATTTATTCACAAGATGATTCATTTGCTTTATGGAAGTAAAGGGATTGCATACCATTATTTAGTTTTTCACTGCTAGCTGTCAATAAAAAATATAAATTGCTGGCATAAATATCTAAGTAAAATGTGAATTGTTTTTGGAGTGATTTTTTTTCTTTGTATTATTGTTCATACAAGAGTGAAATAGAAAAATTAAAAATTAAGATTTTATATATTCGACACAGATTTTTGTAAAACAAGCTACACATATTGCAAAAATGTTTGGAAAAAAAACAAAACAACTGTTATATCAGTTTTCTGAAATTTCATTGTAGCGTTTATAGCATTAGTATGGTTGAATTTAGAATCCCATATAAACTAGTTAACCTTGTAAAAATGTCCCTTAAAGATGTCAAAAACAGAATAAAATGTATGACCATTTTTACATGCAAAGAGGTTTAAGAAAAGGAGACACCCTCCTTGCAGGCTATTTAACATTGCATTGGAAAAAGCAATTAGAGATGTCAATATAAATACACTGGGTACAATTATTCAAAAGTCTGTTCAAATATTGGCTTATGATATTGATTCAATAGGATGTACCAAACAGGCTGTCTTCAAGGCTTTTACCAAGCTAAACTTTCCATGAGGTGTGGTTTTATTCGAATTTATCTTTTTATGTTTTTCTTTGATTTAATTATGAAACCAACCACATGGTTTAGTAAAAATGTTTCAAAAAGTCTTCAAATAATTAAACTGCAAACTATGTGATCTTAGACATTCACATTCAATAAAAATATTTACACCAATTGCACCACTTTCTGAAATATTTTTGCAGGAAATTCACATTTCCTTCCACAGAATTAGCATTTATAAAAATTATGTTTGGGATATACGTAATTTTACCTTTCATGCGTAGAAATATAATTTATCTCTGAAACATGAATCTGTAAAAATAAATCAATTGCTCTTAAATAAAACAATTCAGAACCCATTTTGCAACAGGTATAACATTTACAGGCATTTCTTTTCTAAATTTTATCTAAATTTACAGCAAATACAAATAATATGTTTTAAATCAAATTTGTTAAATAACAATATTAAATTAATATGATCAATGCAAACAACATAAAAGAGACATTTAATGTAGTTAATCATAAGACAGTCCAAAACATTATTTAAAAACTTAAAATTTATGAGAGCAGTGTGGAACTAAAAATTTGATTTCCTTTTGAAACATTGGAAAACTACAGTGAAAAAATTCCATATTAGCCTTAATGTGTGACTGATTAGCTGTGATTTTCTACGATTAATATAACACTAAATTATATATACATACCAGAAAAAGCTGAAATTTTTTTAAAAAAAATGTTAAATCAAACTATTTAATGCTTTTATAATTGTATTTAAGCAAACTAATTCATTAATCACAAATTTAACATTTGAATAGCAGATTTATTTATTACTCAGAATTGTACACAACAAAATAAAATAAAAAGAAGACTTTAGGCAACACAACAGTTATTTCCGCTAAAATGTAAAAGAATGCTACAAATAAATTTTAAAATCTTTATGTGAGATTACTTACTTGAAAACAGGTGATACACACTACACACAAAAAAGTTTTTGGAATAAGTAACATGTTAATTACAGTGTAATATTTCTCCCCGCATTTTGTCAGGATGAAGTTTAAATAAACTGCGAATGAACAATTATTTTAACTAAGAAAATGCTATTTGACAAAATTAAATTAATAATTACGAAAAAGGTTAAAAAAAACAAAACAGAAAGAGCAACATGTCTTTAAAAAAGTAGATACCATGAGCAGTGGTACTACTTTAACTAGAAGAATACATAATGTGAATATTAAATTGGTAAAAACAAGAAGAAAAAAACTAGGTTAAAAAAACATGCATCTAACTATGTTTTTAAAAAATGCACAAAATAAGTCACAAAAATGTCTGAAATAATTAAAATAAATTATGAGTACTAATAATTATTTCAACTAGAAAAGGATATTAGGTAATATAAACTTGAAAATTGCAAAGACACAATGTAAAAACAAAAGAAATGTAAAACATTTTATTTTAAAAAACAACATACAAAACTTTTTATTGAAGGTTTCATAGATTATTAAGGTCTCCTATTTTTAAGGTTAAGTAGATTATCACAAAAATAACAAAACGATTGAATGAAATTATGTTGAAATGTATAATTTGAATGAGAAACAATATGTCGCTGCAAATTCGACTGTCTTTTAAAACATTTCTTGCAAATGACACACTGATCGGGTTTTTCCCCCAGAGTGAATTCTAAGGTGTCTCTTTAAGAGGGTTGTCCAATAGCTGGAATAGCTGCAGTAAGGACACTGATGATGAGTTTCTTTTTTTTCTGTTGATAGCTGAAAATTTAAAAGAAATTATCACATTCTGATATTGAATGGCCTATTATTGCGGAAAGTAAATAAAATATGAAGATTTCATAGATATTAACAAATTGTTTTTAATAAAATATAAATAGAACAAGTAATAAACAAACTTTGAGAATTACTAGTGATGGCTGAAAATTCAAAGGCAAAATTATTACAAAATTCTCAGGCTAAAATGGTACTTGACCGACCATCATGGAGTCGGAAATAAATTTGTCATCTGAGTTGGTTGAATTTGTCATTTAAAATGCTCAGTTTTGATATCTGCACATTTTCAATGTGCTCCTGCTAAACTTGCAGTTGATAAAAATCAAATACAGTTGCAATATATTTAAATAAATAAAAAAAAGTATGAAGTGTTCGTAATTATTGATAAAATTGTATTAAATTTAATTGTAGTACAAATTGTCAGTAAAAGTATATTTTGCAAAAGCACTAAATAGATAATAAGTGGCCAGTAAAAAAAATTAAAACTTTTCTATAATCTTCAAAAGGTTTTTTAATTTTATATTTATATTTATATTATAGCTAAATTAACATGCATAACTAAAGTATAAGGAAAATTTGTTGTATATGGTATCTATTTAATTGTAAAGTATTTAATTTTCAAACAATAAACACCAATTAAATATGTAAAACAAAGCAGAATTGTTAACTTTCATTTATTTTGTTTAATAAATCATCTTTAGTCAAACTCAAGAAAACTCTTTCAGAATGAAATATTTAACTGGTAAACATTAGGCATAGTTTAAGATATCAGACTGGTGCAAAAACATGATTTTTAACAAAATTTTTGAAATAGAGCTTACTATAAATTTAAAATCCCTGTACTCTAAGCTTTCTAAAAATACTGTTAATGATCCAATTATTTACAATGTTAAAGCAGTTTTTGTGCAAGGTGATAATATTGGATAGACTAATGATCTTAATTATTTAAATGTGTTGATATCAAAATCAGATTTTTGACATTTTACACGATATCTCACATTGTTTTAAAAATAATTGTCCTTAATATTTCACGCTCACGAGAGCTTACAATTTTAGCACATATGTTTTGAACTACAGACTAAGAGAATAAAGTACTATTTAATTTTTTATACATGTTTTTTCACAAAGACAAGTGCAAAAATGTTTAAAATTTCTTTTTACACATGTACTCATTCTTTTTACGAGTATCTGCAAAAAATGCCTTATTTTCAGCAACGCAAAAAATGGTAATTAAAAAAAAAAAAAAAAAAAATTTTATTTCACTAGTTTATTAAAATTTTATATTAAGCTAAATTTAAGCTACAAGGATGCAAGAAGCTGGATGCCAAATTTAAGATGCATTTAAGTATTTAAAAATGTCATACATTTCAACTGTTTCTTAAGATGAGAACATGTCATATGCTCTTTCAAACGATCTTTCCTACTAAAATGTTTACCGCAAATATCACATGGAAATGGTTTTCCCCCATTCTGATGTGTCTACTTAAAGCTGATTTCCAAGCACCACAGTAACTGCAAAATGGACATTGATACTTGCGTTTCCTAGCAGAAGCTGAAAAATGAAAGAAATTAAATTTACAAAATAGATTTGTTTAAATTGAGGACTTATATAGCTACACAATATATAGCTACACATATTTATTTATTTTTACATACACCGACATATGGGCAGCTGAAACAGCAAAATTTGATCAATGACTTAAATAGCAAAATCTTCTTATAGTATAATTTTCAACAATTGCTGCCATAGGTCCGTAATTTTACTTTTTTGTGTGATTCATGACAAGACATGTGAGAAACCTCACAATGTTTCTCTTTAGTACTTATTTACATATAATTTTTGAATAAATTAAATTAAAAGGATGTTTTAAGATTGTTTTGAAAGGAAAGAAATTTTCAAGCTCAGTCGCATACAATCTTAACATTAAGAATTTCATGAAATCTTTTCATTAAATCATTTTTATGTTTTAACTGAATTTCATTTAAGTTTTCTAATATTAAATAAAATATTTATTAAATTATCTTTCATTAAAACTGAGGTCTTGCAGCAACTGAGTTTAAAACACTATTTTAAATTTCCAAAGGGAACATAGAGTATACTTTGGGCTATGTAGACTAAAGCTAATTGTTTTGACAATTGAATTGTTGTTTCATATTTGAAACAATTCAAGGCTTGAATTGTTTCAACTATTGTCCATAAACTGAAATTTTCCAAATGAACCTACTTTTAGATTTTTTAAAGTAAAGAGCAAGTCTCTAACACTTTTAAACACAGCAAATAATTTTTTTATTGTACTTTAGGTTACTGTCAGCTTCTTACACTAATAATAAACACAGTTCATTTCTCAATATTAATTTATATGGAATTTCCTTTGTAGTTATAAATTCGTAAATGACGATTAAACGATAGCCCTAATGTTGTCTATCACTTGCATGGGAAAAGTTGATTCATACGACATGCACCGTGCTTAAATGGAATTCATATATATCTCTATAGTCGACTTTCACCGATTTATAGTTGAAAATAGGAAAATAATTCAAAGTGTTATTTGAGGATTTTTGTGCGACATTTAAAAGCTAACTTTACTCCAAAAAACTTTTTGAAAATTTTACTACTTAAAAGGTTTTTTTTTTTTTTACCTAAGTGAGACTCATATTTTTCAAAATTCATAACTACTATTCTTCCCTTGTAAAATTCGGACAACTTGAAATAATAACTGTTACAAAATTATGAGATTCAATATTCTTAGAAACTAACTACAAAAACAAATATATATATATATACATACATATATTTTTTATAACGGCAGGCACTGAACTTTTCGTTCTTCGCCATAGAAGATGCCGGAATTGTTACTCATTTAGCGTTACCCAGTGGGCACCTGTGAACCGAAGTCACGGAGGCGAGCAACGTTACCCACGCCAAACTGCCACAAACCCGTTCATAGGGTGGGCCACATTCACTCATTCACACAACAGAAGANGAAAAATCAGTTATCCGGAATAGCGATGGTCCCGATCGTTCCGGATAATCGGTTCCCTACTGTATATCTATAATCTCTTCATCAGCTCACATGATTATATCCACAAAAAGGAGTAATTTCTAATATTGTATCAATATAGTCAAAGCAAAATATATCAATACAATAATGGGAGAAACACTCAAAAAATTGAAACAATATAGAACACATTAAGTAAAAAATATATCAAGCAAAAAACAGAAAATAAAATGTAAAGAAAAAACAGAACAAAACACAAAGTCAAATTTATAACATGTGTGGCAAATTCAAATGAACTTACATGTACTGGAATCTTTCAAGAATGATTTAAAATATTTACATAAGATTGCCATATAAATAGACATACAGAAAGACGAAAAAATATTTTTAAAATATTTTCCTATTGTGTAATAGGATACACAGAAACAAAAAAGATCCCTTAAAGAACAACTTTCAAACATCAAAAGTAAAATATTATTAAGTTAATAAATGAAACAAATTTCATGGAAATTATTATAGTTTTCATTTATTATAAAAAAATGTAATACATCAACAATGCATAAAAATAAAATTTAGTAACATAGTAGGATCATCATAATATTTTTGTAGAGTTCAAACAATTTATAATATTAATAAAATGACAAAGTTATTTTAGTTATTTAAATATTGTTTTGTTTTTTCCATTTTTGACATGAACATCAAGTAGTTAGAGAATAATTGTATCTTTAATTTCTTATTGAAACTGTAATAAAAAATGTAACCTTCTAATTTTCAAATTGTAGAAAATATTCATTTCATAGTGATGTTTTTCATGAAAAACAAATTTGTTAGAACCAGTAACCCCAAGTATACTTAAAAAAATAATAAGTACTCTTGCAATTTAGTTTATTGTCCAGACATAGCCATGATAACACACTGGTTAAGCTGACATTAAGAACAACTAGGGTTCAACCAAGCTTCAAATCAGTGAATACAAACTTATCTAGAATATTAAGATAACATGAACATTGCTACCTATATTGTAGTCATCATTCCATTTAAAATTTAAAAAAAGGAGAAGTTTTAACCTTTACGACCCCCCTGTAGCCAACAACTAGTAGCTTTATTATTTATGACAGATAGCTGAACAACCAATGTGCAAAAAGTATAAAAAAATAAATTAGTAATCAATAAATTGGTATTGATCCCAACCATGCACAAAATTGAAAGGCATATGCTTAAACAATTAAAAATTTTAGATTATTATCATTATTTGCGGTCTTTCCAAGTGAGATTACGTTATTAAATTAAGCAACAGTCTTACTGAAATTGGAGAGTTCTGTTTTTACTGAAATGAGTTATTTTTGGATTATAATCATAAAGGATAAATATCCCTAATAACTCCGATAATTAAAAAATATTGAAATAAAATGTATTTTAACTTTTCCCTTTATCTGATAAAAAACACATGGTCAAAATTTGAGACTTATAACTTTGTGGCACACTTTAATTTAGCAAAACTTTAATTTACCTCCTAATTACTTTATTAATTACGAAATATTGAAATGAAACTTTGTCTGTTCCATAAAGAGCATATATTCCAAATTTTATTCTTCTAACTTCATAGGAAATGGGAGAATTAGTGCTGAGTCAGAGTTTTACCTTATATTATATTTAAGTGTGGTACAAATTATTTATATAAACAATAAAAAGTAATTTTTGGTATTTTCAATACAACTAAGTAAATGTACTGTATCAATTTCTATAGCGTAGGAAAAAATATTCTCATTAGATTAAAAATATTTAAAGTTATATAAAAAACAATAATGGGAAATAAGAATAAACTTATCAAATTGAATGAAATCTGTCATACAATTACAATACAACATAAACAAACCTATTAGTTTAAAGGTTATGTATCAGATAAACTTTGTCTTCAGCAACTGAAAAAAAGTTTTATTCATCATCAATTATATTTCACACATTTGCGATAAAAAGAATCATAATTCAAAAAAATTTTATCATTTGAAAGTTTTTATTTTGGGAAAAAATTGGCTCAAAGCAAAAAAATTAAAAGTAATATATTTTTTTTAAAGAAAAAGTGGCAATGAATTTTTCATCACATTTTTGGGAAAAGTAAGAATTCAAGTATAGATAAGAAATTTTGTAGCATTATCAATTGTCATCATGATTAGCTTTGTGTGAAAATATTAAATAATTTTACAACAATAGTGTTACTTTTACAGACTATTGTTTTCATTAGTTTTTCTAAACAAAAATTAATGAATATATAAAGCTATTAATTGCCATTGTATGAGAAAAAGTACACAAAAATTAAAGACACATATCCGGAAACATAACCAAAGCTTAATTGATGATTTCAAGAAATTCAAAGAATATTAATTTTAAATTTTATATAATTTTAAATTTAATATAATTAAATAAATATTTAATAAATCCAAAGAACTATTCGTTATATTGACTACTTATTTATTTTGATAATGAGGTCAGATGTTGAGGGAAAAATATAACTTTTAGGATAAGCAACAAGCAAAGGTCTAGCTTGTTTTCTCAGAATAAGCATTCAAGTACAAAAGACATATAAATAACATAAAAACCAAGTAAACACAACAATAACAAGAAAAGTGAAGTGAATGACAATAAAAACCATTTCATAATAAATACCTTATAATTCAATTTTATTAAAATTTACAATTCATCATCTAATCAATATAAGGTGCGTTTTATTTTAAATGGGTAACATTTTTTGATAATAATTAAGTTTTTAATTAAATATAAATTACATTTCGCAGTATTCTTTATTTAGTTTATTTTCTATTGCGAAGAAACATTTTTACCAACCTAATACACGCTTTAAAAAATTATCACAAATCATCATAATAATGGAATAAGAATCAAAATTCTATAACAAAAGCTGTCAACATAACCAGCTTTGCATTTATTAGAATTCATTTTTCATAATTAAGAGTATACCACTTTCTTTATTAAAAAAAATTCAAATAATTTAATAAAAAATTTGTTTGAGAAATTGAAAAGGATGCAATGAAAACCCATTACATTTTGGTAGCAATAAATTTATAATAATAAATTTATAATAATGAATTTATAATAATGAATTTATAAATAATAATTACTAATAATAATAAATTTATTATATACAGATCACATTAAGTGCTTGTAATGAAGAATGGTATGACTTTTCAATGATGCTTTTGTAGCAAAAAATTTGTTGCAAGTGCTGCATTGAAAGTTTTTTTCACCAGTATGAGTTTTCATGTGCCTGTTGAAATTTTGCTTCCAACTACATGAATAGTTACAAAATTTACACTGATATGGTTTATCCCCAGTATGGATTCTCACATGTCTTTTAATGTCATACTTAAGAATGCTTGAATAGTTGCAATAAGGACACTGATGAATTACAACTTTCTTGGAGAGAGCTGAAAAATGTAAACATACATTATAGTTTATGGTTACAAAACTTATAGTTTTGTAATATATAAAAACCAAACCCGCCAACTACTACAAAATTTCCGTAGTTTCACAAAATAGTTTTCCCAGTCGCAAAGAGTTTAATAAAACAATTTTGTCCACCACTACTGATAAATAATTTTAAAAGATATATAAGAGTATTGGAATCAGAGTGATAAATAGTCACGGCATTAAATCAATAGCAGTTTCATAAAAATTTCAGCGTTAGGTCACTCCTAATGGAGAGAAATACTTAGCGTAAATCTTAAATGTTGGAGAGTATAAAAAACTGAATTAATATTCACATTAATGCTTTTTTCTACACATATTTAAAATAAGTTGCAATACAAAACCAGATATTTTTTTGTATATTTCAAAAAAAAAATTTGGTAATTAACGTGGCATAATAAAGAATGTATCCAACTTGTACAAATTACTTGCCGATTACCTAATGATGCTTGCTAAAGTGATCACTTCCATTCTTCTTGTTTCCAAAATTATCCCATCTCCCATTTTTCTTTCGAAATTGCCTTAAATAGTGTCTTGTCTGAGCTCTCGAAAGATATAAACTTTCCTTCTTTTTCAACTTTCAACTTCAAAGCTAAAGCAGTTTTTTTTTGTTAAGTTTATCTGCAACTTCAATTTTCTTGGGATTTATTTCAACTAGTAGAATACTTGAAAGCTTTGATCTCTTATTTATCCGTTTTAAGAAAATATGTAAAATTGCTCTGCGACTTTTCAGGTATGAATATTTTTCTTATTAATTTTATTACAATATTCACCTTCGTTCATCATAAATTACGTAAATGCCAACACAATCAACGAAAGGCTGGACAGAATTCAGACATGTGATTGTTAGAAGAGATCATCCGAAATTTTTTAGAACTTTATGGTCAGATACACCTAAGCAAACCAGAAAACAAATTAAAACAAAAAAAATTTTCTCATTAGCACATAAAAGAAGATATATTTTACTATTATAGTCAATACTTCCGCATTTGGAAAAAAATTATTTTTCTTCTATTTTTTTCATTTGACAAGTAATTACATTAAAAAACAAAAAAACATGGGTAGGACAAAAAAAACTGACAAAAATCTAAATTTTATTTAAAAACACTGTTTAAAGCATTAACAACATCTAAAGATGTCTTTTGCCTTTTGATTTTCCTCACACAATGTTATGCATTGAAGAGAAATTTTTTAAATAACTAGCTTGCCTGCAAGACCTTTACTCAGTTAATAAATCTTTCAAATTTCCACATTAAAATACACTTTTAAATACTATGTCAAATATTAAGTTAAACCAGTTGGATTATCAGATCAAGCTAAATAGCAATTATGAGAAACACCTTACAATTTTATCTGACAAAACTGGTTTTGATGTTTTAAATCCCATTTTCCATACTCGATCATGATAATGATTCATTGGTATTTGATAATGAGTTTCAATTTTTTCTTACAGGAATATGACTGTGGTGACCCTTAAATTGGTTTTTAATTTTATTAAAAGTTTAAGAATAAATATAAGTTCGTGAAGCAAGAATAGAACCTGAACTTGTTTTACAACTAAAATTTCCATATAAAAGAACACATAATACAATAACAAAATTTTCATACAACGAAAAAAAAAACTTTATTTTCCATCACATGAGCGTGAGTTTTACAATGTCAGCGAAAAGTGTGTAACTAGTTGTTTTAATATTGTTTATTCAAAACTTAAAAAACAAATAAATAAATGAAGTTTGTAGTAGAAGAAAAATAAGCACATGACTATTTTCCTTGATCCCAGCACAAAAATATAATAGGGGCTTCCTTAATTACAGAACATTTGGACTTCTTTATATAACATTAGAACTCCTTCAATGGACATCAGGACTTCCCTTAAATAACATGGAGATACAATAACATTTATGTAACAAGGCTCTTTTACATAAAAGTCTCTTTTGCATAACTTAATAGTATTTAACATGTAAAATAAATATAAGCACCAAAAATTTTAAAAAACATAACACTATCCAAATATCAGGGTTCCCACTCAATTTCCAGAAAAATATATTCCCTGACTTTTCCAGGTATATCAGGTAAATTTTAATGAAAATCTATTACATATTTTATCTATACCATGCTACTTTTCATCAGAAAACTTTGATTTTTTTTAAAATTTGTCATATCAAATATTAAATTTTGTGAGCAAAAATATAAAATAGAATGAGAATGAAAACATGGAAAACTTTCACTAAAAGATGGAATTTTATTATAAAATTGTAATAGATGCTAGAATTATTTAAATCGAATTACAATAACTGATTACTGTTATTGACAAGTCAAAGACTGGCCATTTTTTATATATAATATAGGAATTTTCCAGTGTTTCTGCAAAAAATTGCTACTTTTCCTGACTATTCCCTGCTTTTTCCAGTTAAAATAAAATTCTCTGACGATTTGAGGTGTTCCCCTTTCTCCATGACCTGTGGAATCCCTGTAATATATTTTCCAGGTGGAGAGATATACATATATACCTGTATGAATTTATTTAAATCTACAAGACCCAAAATGGACTTAACTTAAAATATACAAACGATAAAACTCATTTGAAGAAATAAATGATTACCAAAACTTTAATAAAAACCTCTCATTTTATAGCTTAAACAAAGCATTTTGGCATTTTTAAATGAGTAAGCATGTGACTCTGTACATGATGCTTTCTAGAAAATCGCTTATTGCAAATACTACACTGAAAAGGTTTTTCTCCTGTATGAATTCTGACATGACGAGTTACATCGATCTTCATCAAGCTTTTGAAACGGCAAAAATGGCAATAATATATTCCATCCTTTCTGGAAAATGCTGCAATATTAAAACAAGTTTTTAATTAATACTCCATTTTCTGCATTTCACTTCAGATGATTTTTATAATATTAAAATCAATTTTTCATCACCTATCCTCATAATTGGAACACTTATTAATGTACATTAACTTTTAAATACCTTAAAATTTAAATAATTCACAAGGTTATTTATGTCCTCAAATTATTTTATTAAAACAAAATGTAATGCCATATATATCACGAATACAAACAGTTTTAATATAATTCTTAATATACAGAAAACAGGCAATTTTTTAGCACAAATTCAATACGCAGTTATAGATGCCGTAAATAGTGTCTTGTTTGAGCTCTAGAAAGATAACAACCTTTCTAATTTTCAGTTTCAAAGCTAAAGAAGTTTTTTTTCTTTTTTTTCGTTAAGTACATCTGTTGCTGCAACTTTCTTAGGATTATTGAGTTCATCCAGTAGAAAGCTTGAAAACTTTGATCTTTCATTTATTCATTTTAAGAAAATATATAAAATTGCTCTGTGACTTTTCAGGTATGAATATTTTTATTATTTATTTTATTACAATATTCACCTTGGTTCATCATAAATTACGTAAATGCCAATGCAATCAACGAAAGACTTGACAGAATTTAGACATGTAACTGCTAGAAGAGATTATTTCAAATTTTTTAGAACTTTATGGTCAGATAGTTTAACACCTAAGCGAACCAGAAAACAAATTATTTTTCCCCATTAGCACATAAAAGAATATATATTTTACTATAGTCAATATTTCCACATATAGAAAAAAAGTATGTTTTTTTTTTGTATTTAACAAGTTATAACATTTAAAAAAAAAACATGTTATAACTTGTTAAAACATGTTATAACTTGTTAAAAAACTGAGAAAAATCTTAATTTTATTTAAAAGCACTGATTAAAGCATCACCAAAACCTAAAAATGTCTTTTTGCCTGTTGATTTTCTTCACACAATGTTATGCATTGAAGAGAAAATTTTTAAATAACTTGCTTGCATGCAAGACCTTTACTCAGTTAATAAATCTTTCAAATTTCCACACTAAAATACACTTTTAAATACTATGTCGAATATTAAGTTAAACCAGTTGGATTATCAGATCAAGCTAAATAGTAATTATGAGAAACACCTTAGAATTTTATCTGACAAAACTAGTTTTGATGTTTTAAATCCCATTTTCCATACTCGATCATGATAATGCTTCATTGGTATTTGATAATGAGTTTAAATTTTTTCTTACTGGAATATGACTGTAGTGACCCTTAAATTGATTTTTAATTTTTTTAAAAGAAGTTTAAGAATAAATATGATCGAAGTTAGTGAAGCAAGAATAGAACTGATCTTGTTTTACAACTAAAATTTCCATATAAAAAACACATTATACAATAAATTTTTTTTTATACAACATAAAAAAAAACTTTCTTTTCCATTGTGAGTTTTACAATGTCAGCGAAAAGTGTGTAACTAGATGTTTTAATATTGTTTATTCAAAACTTAAAAACTTCTTTATATAATATTAGAACTCCTTCAATGAACATCAGGACTTCCCTTAAAGAACATGGAGATACAATAACATTTATGTAACAAGGCTCTTTTACATAAAAGTCTCTTTTGCATAACTTAATAGTATTTAACATGTTAATTAAATATAAGCACCAAAAATTTTAAAAAACATAACATAATCCTAATATCAGGGTTCCCACTCAATTTCCAGAAAAAAATACTCCCTGACTTTTCCAGGTATATCAGGTAAATTTTAATGAAAATCTATTACATATTTTATCTATAGCATGCTATTCTTCATCAGAAAACTTTGATTTTTTTTAATATTTGTCATATCAAATATTAGATTTTGTGAGCAAAAATATATAATAGAATGAGAATGAAAACATGGAAAACTTTCACTAAAAGATGGAATTTTATTATAAAATTGTAATAGATGTTAGAATTATTTAAATCGAATCTCAATAACTGATTACGGTTATTGACAAGTCCATGACTGGTTATTTTTCATGTATAATATAGGAAGTTTCCAGGTTTTTTGTAAGAAATTGCACCTTTTCCTGACCATTTCCTACTTTTTAGAATAACAATAAAACTCTCTGACCATTTTAGGTGTTTTTAGTTGTCCATGACTCGTGGGAGACCTGTTATATATTTTTCAAGCGGTGGGAGCAATGGTTAACAATCATATAATAAATTGGGTACCTAAGTTTAAAATTAAGATTGGTGACTTACAATGTCTTCTGAAGAGACACATCCAAGTACAAAAGGTAAATAAATAATACAACAACCAAGAATTTTATATTTGAACAAGCAAAATAAATGACCGATATACCTGTATGAATTTATTTAAATCTACAAGACCCAAAATGGACTAAAACTCAAAATATACAAACAATAAAACTCATTTGCAGAAATAAATGATTACCAAAACTTTAATAGAAACCTCACATTTTATAGCTTAAACAAAGCGTTTTGGCTTTTTTAAATGAGTTCGCATGTGACTCTGTGCATGATGCTTTAGTTTAAACCGTTTGTCACAAACATCACACTTAAATGGTTTTTCTCCTGTATGAATTCTGACATGACGGGTTACATCGATCTTCATCAAGCTCTTGTAACGGCAAAAATGACAATAATATAATCCATCCTTTCTGGAAAATGCTGCAATATTAAAACAAGTTTTTAATTAATACTGCATTTTCTGTATTTCACTTCATATGGTTTTTATAACATTAAAATCAGTTTTTTATAACCTATCCTCATAATTGGAACACTTATTAATGCTTATTAACTTTCAAATACCTTAAAATTGAAATAATTCACAAGGTTATTTATTTCCTAAAATTATTTTATTAAAACAAAATGCAATGCCATATATATCACGAATACAAACAGTTTTAATAAAATTCTTAATATACAGAAAACAGGCAATTTTTTAGCACATATGCAACATGCTGAGCACAAAATAAAAAATTGACCATTCTGAATAACTTTTGATTGGATCTTCACATTCTAGGACTCAGTCCTGGAGGTTCAAAGGGGTAGCAAATTACAAAATTTGAGCAAAATCAATGGAATAGTTCCAGAGAAATCAAATTTTAAAAATGCAACTTTTTCAAAATTCAATTTCCGAGGAACTATTTAGCCAATCTTACTCGAACTTAGTATTGTACAATTTAAAATTGAATTCTTTAAAATAAGTTAAACATTTGCATACCACACAACTTAAAAATTTTCACTTATATTTAAATAAAAAATTATAAAGATTTACCGAAAATCATATTTTGCATGAAATTATCTTTGTAGAAACAAATTTTATAATTGTGTGAAAATTTTTTTTAGTTCTCTTAAGTTTTTGAGAAATGATGAAATACTCAAAAGTAAATTTAATATTAAAGGGATCAAACATTGGACTGCTCTGTTGACCAAACTATTGGGAGCATATTTCCCAGAGTGTGGCTACCCCTTATATTTAGAAAAGTTTTTTTATTCAGTGAAAGTATATTTTTGTGTCTGATTTTGTAACCTAAAATATCGTCTGCACTAACTAATTATCATATTTGAGATCACCTCTCTCGAACCTTTAAAGGTGAGACAGAACGAGAAGATATAATGATTAGATCTAAAGTTATACAGGGTGGTCCAATTTTTTTGAGAGCACTTTACTTTTATATTGAGTTAAACAAGAATACATGACCATTAAGAATGCATGACCAAAGAATTTTTCCTAAAGTGTAAAAGTGTATGTCTTTGCACATGATGTTTTTGGGTAAACCGTCTGTCACACACATAACACTTATACGGTTTTTCTCTTGTATGAATTCTGACATGGCGGATAACATCAATCCTCTTAACACTTGAGTAATGGCAAAAATGACAGTAATATATTCCTTCCTTCTTTGAAAACGCTGTAATGTCAATAAAAGTTTGCAATTAATACTTTTTCATTTCACATTTTACAAGTTTTTAAAATTTATATTTATTACTTTTTTAATACATTCTCGCAAGTGATATATTTTTAAAACATAAATTTTTGCAGAAGCTAACTTCTGGAATCTACAAAAAGTTAGCAATCTTGAAACATGGTAACTATTTTCCAAATACTTTTACCAGGAGTATGCAAATTACAAAAATTAAAAAGCATGTTATAAAATAAATGGAAAATAACGTAACAGTTCTTACAAAATTACAGAAAAAAAATTTATATTATTTAAAAATAAATTAAGTGGTCATACATAGGATAAAATTTTATTACGCAGACAATTATACAAGCTACAATCACATTACATGCCAGCAATAACCTGTATATATATATATAAATCCATAGCATAATCTTGAATAAAGGGCTGAACTTATGGCTTTGTTGTTGGCAAATTTCTGTGTTAGTTGTAAATTGGAAATATCGCTTGTCATTATTTGTAACTGAGAAAAGCTTTCTGGATCAAACTTCAATCTTTAAAAAAATATGCCTATACTTAATTAGTTCTGTAAATTTTAAATATATATATATATATATGAAAAAAAAGAGATAAACAATACAAGAATTACAGAAGTTGTTCTGTGGTAGCAGATTGACTTATATATTATATAAAACACTAATATGTATGTATCAATAAAACCGATGATATTTCTTTTCTTGCATTGGCAACAGTTTTCATTTTTAATTGATTGGATTCGGCGCGCAAGAGCACGTAGTGAGCATCATATGGCTAATCTATATTACATAAAATGCTAATACGTTTTAATTGATAGGCTTCGGCGCGCAAGAGCACGTAGTGAGCATCATATGTCTAATCGGGTGAATTCTCACCGAATTATCAAAAAAATTCTCACAAAATTATCTTCATCGAAGCCGATGCTTTACATCCGGCGTTCAGTACTATTTCATATTGTTTTACAACACATGGTTTTAGCCCTCTGGTGGGAAAGACTTTAAAACAAAACTTACAACAGTTACTTTTCTCAACAACTGAAATTTAGAATAGTGTGATTAAGAAAAATATGTGAACTGTTTGCAATTTCAAATTAATATTGAAATGCACAGGTTTAGAATTTTCTACAGTGAAAAGTTTTCGGAACTTCAGTGTTCAAAAAAGTATACAAAAGCTAGACGTTAAGAACGTATCCAATGAGCGAGCAAAGCGAGCATCGGATTGCGAAGCAATCCGAAATTAACTGCGAAAGCAGTTTCGGGGGTTGGCGAGCGCCAGCGAGCAGGGGGCGAAGCCTCCTAGTATTAAACTAAAACTGAATATCAGTACTGCAGCTCAATACATACAAATTAATCAGAGGAAGATTGAATGTAGCCTAAAAACAGTTATTGAATACAGAGAACATGCAATCATCACCGGGTTAAATATATAAGTAATTTAGATAATATGGATAGTTTTTTTTTAATGGTGGGCACTTTTGTCTATTTCCCATTGGGCCTAGAAATGCCAGAATTGTTACGCTCTTTATCATTGCCCAGTGGGCTCCTGTGGCTAAGCCCACTGCATGTGTGAGCCGGCTGTGGTGTGAAATGAATATTATCAAGAGACTGTGTACATAAATTTTAAATACTCCTGCATATTTATGAATTTTTTTATTCAATCATCGAATATAGAGCATAATGGTACAAAGTCCAAAAAAGTGCAAGCTGTGGCAAACAATCAAAATTTGAAACACTATAAATTTGTATCCTTAAATACATAAAGTAGATAAATAAAAAATATAAAATAGATTAAAAAAATAGATACGATACACAGGTAAATACATATACATACAAGAGAATAAAATCAGATAAAATTGTAAATAGAATAAAACAGTTACATACAGTTTGAAATACCAATAGTGCATAAACATGCAAAAATGTTAGGATGATAGGTTTTACTTGATTCTTTTAGAGAAAAAATTTAACTACCAAAAATTGAGAGACAATGTCGGTTAAAACATGGGCAAATTATTAAAACGAGAGAAATAACTAGAAGAACATAGAGAAATCCCAAATATCAAAAAGTGTGTGAATCAGATCTGCAAAATATTTTGAGGAAGTCTGATGTTAGTTAGATGTACCAAATACAGGGCAGTAGCTCCCTAGCCAAATATGCCTTTTAGTTTTTCAAAAATAAATACAATTGTCATAATACAGATTTTTCTGGCCTAAAATCATTAACTGACGACCCATTTTAAGATTTCAACATAAGATTGGATGTTTTGCTAAAAAAATCTTTTTTTCCCCAAAAGTATTTTAATTTTCAGATTTATAACCGTCATTGAACATCCAACCTAAAATTTGAGTTTACGACTACAAATGTCCGACTCCGTCGCCTTGTAATTCTGAAATAATCCTGAAGACAAGGGAACTCCTGGATCAAGTAACGCCTAGGATCGCCTTTGTGGAAGACTTTAGATGGAACTAATAAGATTTGAGTTTATAGAGATGAAAACCACAAAAACCTCGCTTGGTTAGCCTGTTTCCAAGAGGACTCTACTCAATAATGCAAACATAACTGAGGATAAGTCAGCACCATGGTAGATGCGGGTCAGGTGCGGAAGTCAAACCGGGGTCACCTCATTAGGAGGCAAGCATTCTATCCCCTACGCCACCACGGAAATTTTTAGGTTAAAAAAAATAGGTTGAGTTTTAAAGAGCAAATGCACCTGATATTTGTAGATCTCTGCTATAAATAATAGAATTAAATATCATAACCTTACGGAGTGAAGATATTTTTACATATTCAATATAAAGAAAAAAAATTCAGTACTCATTGGTTTCAGGGATCCATAAAAAATCACCTCACTATTATTGACACTAGTAATGCTTAACTGATTATTATAATAGACAGTACTAGCTTTATCCTAAAAAGTGCTGTAGTATATCAGTACCTGATATACTAAAAATGGTACAATGATAATAGGTTTTTAGCAACCCCTGATAGGGATAAGTATCAATATTTTTTAGAGTACATAGGATAAAATACTTTATTTCAAATCAACATAAATGCGGAAATGATTCTGTTGATTTCAGCAAAAATACAGAAATACAATAATATTTATGCAAAAATTTAAGCATTTTTCTTAAAATGAGTACACATATGTCTCTGAACATGATGCTTTAGAGTAAACCGTTTGTCACAAACATCACACTTAAACGGTTTTTCTCCTGTATGAATTCTAACATGACGAGTTACACCAATCTTCATTAAGCTTGTGAAACGGCAAAAATGACAATAATATATTCCATCCACTTTGGAAAATGCTGCAATGTTAAAACAAATTTTTAATTAATATTCTACGTTTCATTTCACAACACAAGATTTTTAATAATATTTAAATCGGCGTATTATACAAATTAACTTTTAAATATCACAACAAACAAAAATTTAACAATATAATTCAGAATTTAAGGCCATAAATATCAATGGTACAAATAGTTTTGCACATTCTTAATATATAGGTAATAATTTTTTTGAGTTCTTAGGTAATATACTTTCTTTTAAGTCCAATAAAAATACGTAATTATGCTAAAGTGTTATAAATCATAATAATGGGTATTTTATGTAAATGTAGAGTGAAATTTAGATTGAACCAAAAATGCAATATTAACATTTCCATTTATTTATAAATTGTTGACAAAAAAACAATCCTCAGATAAGTATGGGACAAAAACACACAAAAGGATCAAATCCAGGTGATGTAATGTGATAACAGCTAAAAACTTGTAAAGCATCAAAATAAACAATTGGTCATAAATTAAACACAATTAACAAATAAAAGTTCATAATTAATGCTTCTTTCATTTGCAATTTTGCAGTTTTTAAAATTTTTATACATTTAACTAATTTTTGCAGGTGATAAATTTTTTCAGCATATTATTTTGCCACGAAAACTAACTTTAAAATGCAACAAAAATTAAAAAATTCCCAAACATGTTATCTTTTTCTAAAATCCTTAAACTATATTAAAATTTAACATAAAAAATTATAGGAGTACAGACATTTTTACATTTTCCAACATAAAAATTTCTTCCAATACATAAAATATATACTTTGAGTTCGAGTGAAATACGAGCTTATCAAAACATTAATAGAGATGTAATTTTTATGAAACCATTTAAGTATTTTTCATAATATGTGACTGCATGTGTTTTTGAATATGATGCTTTAAGGTAAATCGCTTATCACACATATTACACTTATACGGCTTTTCTCCTGTATGAATTCTGGCATGGCGAATAAGATCAATCTTTCTAAAGCTTGAGTAACGGCAAAAATGACAATAAAATATCCCATCCTTTCTTGTATATGCTGCAATGTTAAGAGAAATTTTTAATTAAAAAAAATTAAGGTTAAAAATTAAAGGATATTAATATAATTAAGGATAAAAAAAATATTAATTAAGGATGTGTTTCTATAAAATAGTTGAACCTCATTAACATGAACTCAAATAAGAGCTGAATATTTGCTTTAAGTTAAAACTAGTTCATGTTATCAGTTTATAAATTTTCTTATAAAAATTGTATAATGCATAGGAAGTTCGATTATTAGCTACACATAATATTTTATTTTACTGCTATAAAAATATTATTAATCTATTACTAAATCATTCATAATTATACTATACTTTCATAAAAATGCAATAAATTATTTTGAAAGTTATTAAACGTATAATTAAGAAACAAATGCAAGAGATTTTTGTAATTCCAGATAAAGCTCAAACAGTGCAATACTTTTTTTCCTCAGTTTTAAGTTAAAGAAGACAAAAAGGGTGACTGAAAAGATAATTAATTCAAATCAAAAGAAATGCTTTTATTTAAATAATTGGAGGCAACTACTCATAAAATAATCAGTAATATCTCTTTCCAGTTTTTTTCTTATTTAAAATTTTCAAAGATTAATGAAATTGTAATTCACATTAAAACATATTTCATGCTACGCTTCTTCACGTAATACTTAACATGCTTATAATCACATACAATGTGACAGAGAATAAAATAAAAAGTGCACATTTAAAGAAATTCACTTAAAACGCTTTTATGTTAATGAAGTTTAACTGCATTTAAATTGGTGTTTTGTACCCGCCCTTAAATACCAGACAATAACTGTATAATTTTTTTAAAAAATAATAATAATAACTATATTTTTAAAAGAACATACGATAAAATTAATGCAATTTTAAAAGCATAATTCTCATATATGGGTATTTTTCAAATTCCAATGTCATTCAGAAATTAAGAAAAGAAACAAAAAATATTTTTAAAAATATATTAACACATATACTTCTTATTATACTAATTAAATGCTTCTCATTTTATTTTTTATAAATTTCAATCAATATTTTTTGATTAGATAACATTAAAATTGTCATGTTTCTTAGGATAGGTAATCCTTAGTATTTATACATATTCAAGACAAACATAGTACTTTCTGAACAACTTTAAAATTATAAATAGTATGTAAATTTAAACTACCAAACATAGAACATTCTAAATACGCTCATACGTTTCAACAGTTTTTACTGGTATACACATATTGCTGTACAAAATGGGATACCCACAAGTAACGTAGTGTGGGTTGTTGAAACATAGCATTTATTAATGTTAGAAACTGTTCTTTCCATTCTATTTTGAATAAGCAAGGCCCATCAAATATTAATTCTCTTAAGCGACACATTCTATATTCTTACTAATTTAGAGTATTTCTAATTTAGAGTATAACAGTTCAAAATGATAATTCTGATAAAAATCTTTTAGATTCAATGCAGTAAATTTTCAGTTTCCTTTCAACTAATTCCTTTAAAATATTATTTTTTTATAATAATGTAATATAACTTATTACTTTTTGTACTCAAAAGTGTCTATTAATCTACTTGTTATAAAGAAAAAAAATTTCTGAAGGATATTAAATAGCACAGAATTATGAAAATGATACACATAATGCACAGAAAAAAAAATCATTCACATCAGTTTTTGAATGTATTATACCATAAATTATAAACATTTTATTTTCTAATATTGCTGAAGAAACTTCATGTTCAAAGTTTTCTTAATAAATATATTTAAACTATCTTTCACATTTTATGTACTTTAAACTGTTGCAGTAGAGTTTTTTTTATTTCTCAAAAATATTAGACATAAAAAATAAGTCTTACTTCAATTTAATTATCCATTAAAATAATCATATTCAATACTATAGACACTCAAAATGTATCATTACCACAGTAAGGCATAGGCGTCAGATCATACAGGTAGAAATTTTGTCTTGTTTTTGACATATTAATTTAAGAAGGTGTTCCATAATTATCACCCTTAGTACACATTTTTAGAGCCATTTTAGTTTACAGAAGAAATCCTTAACACACATTAGAAATTGAAAATTATTATTTGAATGACAGAAAAAAATGCTTTATACTGTATTGTCATTCAAATAAATTTGACAAATCCTTATCAAGGTAAAAATGAAGACAGTAGTAAAAGCATTGAAATCAGTTTAATTTTAAGATTAAACTGAAAGGCAGTTCTAATAATTGCATTTTACAACCTTTCAATTTCACTTATCAAACTTGTTTTGATGATTTTAGCACTATAAACACTAAGTTAAAATTTAAAAAGAAAATGTTTGCTATTTCCTTATTTATTAAATGCATTTATTATGAATTTTATTTATTTATTATGGTTTAATTATTTAATTAATGTGCTTCTTTTTAGAAAGGATTCGAAACAAATATATTAAAAACAATGTTAGCAGATCATCTAGTACAGTGATTCTCAACCATTGTGCCGCGGCACTTTTGTGTGCCGCCAAATTCTAAAAATGTGCCGCCAAATATTAGAAATGATACAATAAAAATGATAATGCTTTTTTTAATTACGAGTAAAGTTTAAATTAAAGAAAACTGTATATATATAAAATATTATATATATATGTACACATTTTATAATTTTTTCACGCCTTAACCGTTTGAACATCTTAGTCGGCGATTGTCTTGCCTCTGACAATCTTAAAATAAGTTAAAATAAGAAGAAAGTGTTTAAATTGTCTTAATTGTCAGTGTTTAATTGTCAATTTTAAAAAATATTGAAATAAGTAGGAAATTTAATGATTATTTAAATTATTAATCAACAAAGGAAAGTAAGCTAAATATTGACTTTACAACTTAAATAAAAGCTAATCATTAAAGTAAGCTATGAGATTAAAAGTTATAAAAACAAATTAACAAATGATAACTAACAAAAAAATAAGCTAACAATTAATGATTAGCAAAAAAACTAGTTGACAATAAATCACGAAAAAATAACAGTTAATATCTATAGAAAACAAGCTAACAATTAATAACTAGCAAAAAAAATAAATACCTGTTACTAACTAATAAAAAATTAGTCGAAAGAAATAATTAATCCCTTAATAAACGTGCTTTTATAGTACATATTATTTATGTTTTATTTCACATTCAAAATTATTATCACAAACTATTTAACACAGTGTATTATAGGTATGTAAACAACTTTTAAACTGATTTTTTTCATTGTGTGCCGTCAAATTTCGAAATTGTTAAAAGTGCGCCGCCCCCCAAAAAAGGTTGGGAATCACTGATCTAGTATGTAGATCATTAAATATATCACAACAACCATGCTTATAATTTTTAAAAAATTTTTATTAATTTTAATAACTAGCCTAACTCATAATTAATCATAGACAAATATCAAATGTTGCAGGATTTATTAGAAAAAATGTTAAAAATACAAAAGGTATTTACTTTAAACTGTGTAACAATAAAATCAAGAAACAATTTCATAAAATGCAGGTTGCAGCAAATGCTTCTGAATGCTGTTATAAAGAAAACTTTAAAATATTTTGAAACAAATAAAATAAACATATTGCATGATAAACGTTTTTTACCAGGGTAAGTTAATTAAAAAAAGGAAAAGAAAAAAAAAACTACAAATACTTAAAACAGCATACTGAAAAACAATTTCAATACCAGGGGCTGTTAAAATAAATACTTCAAAAAATGCATGGAAAATAAAAATGCCCTTTACAAAGAAGCTTTTGTAACAAATTTTGTATTTTAGCAGACTGGAGGTTTTCGCCAGTCTGCGCATTCGTATAATTTATTTTGATATGTAAAAATACACAAAATAGCTTACTGAGAAACAATTTGAATTTATTTAGGTTGGTTGAAACAAACATTTTTGAAAATTAAAAATTGAATGACTTTTTGTTGACTGTACATAAACAGGATATGTGTAAATGCTGTACATATACATACATACTTGAAAAATGTTGCATATATACATGAATGATGTTGCATATATACTTGAAAAAAAAGAGTAAAACTAAAAGTAGTGAAGATAACATGCTGAGAAACAATTTCAATTTATACAGGTTGAAACTAACATTTTCAAACGTGAAAAATTTTATGATTTTTCAAAGTAGGCAATAGAAAAGAAGTATTAGCTGCTGCATTGAAATGGATTTTCCAGTAAGAATTCTCATTTATTTTCTAATAAACGGAACTAAAGTAAAGATAGCATTATTCTCAGAAATAATTTCAATTTATGCTGGTTAAAATGAATTGCTTCTGAAAATGTGTAATTGTATCACTTTTAAAAGATGGCTTTACATTAAAGCATTTACAACAAATTTCACATTCAAAAGGCTTTTTTCAGTAAGAGTTCTCATATAATTTACATTAAGAAAACTAAAAGTAGACAAGATGAAACAATTTCAATATATTTTGGTTACAACAAATTCTTTTGAAAATGAGTAATTGTATGACTTTTTAACGAAGACTTTACAGTAAAACGTTTGTAACAAACTTTGCATTGAAAAGGCTTTTCTCCAGTGTGAGTTCTCATATGCCTGGTTAAATCAGTCTTCATAATGGTCGAATAAGAACACCATGTACACTGATGTCTCCTGTTTCCTTTGGAAAATACTGTAATGTTTAAAGAATGTTTCTTCAATATTTCAGATGATGACAACATTATAATTCAATATTTTACAATTTTTAATGTGTTTTTAAATCAAACAAGATAAACCGATATGACTGACAAAAAAAAAAACAAANAAAAAAAAAAAAAAAAAAAAAAAAAAAAAAAAAAAAAAAAAAAAAAAACATAAGACTTTTTTTCCTTCAAGAAAAACCAGATCATTACTTTGCTACTAGAAAAAAAAAAATTTGCAAGAAATAAAATGATAAATTACTGATTAAAAAAAAAATCATAAAATACATAGCAGAAAAGAACCACTCATACAATGCTACAATACCCCTTTGTTATAAAGCATATTACCTATTTCTTGATCAAAACTAGTAGTTAATGTAAAATACCAGTGCCGCAGTAGTTATGAATTTATAATACTTTTTTTCAAAATAACTTGATATCAAAACATGAAGAAAAAAATTTAAGTAATTATTTTAATATATTGTATTTCAAGCTAAATTGTTCAAACAGTTAAATAAATTAAAAATTGAAAATTGGAAACATTTTACTTAATACAGTTATATAATAAAAAAGCATTCCCATAATAGCAAGTTGTGTTCCAGGGAGCAAAACTTGTTGTTCACAGAAGTTATAGCTTCAAATTTTCATAACAAATAGCATGATTGTGGCAATGGAATCAGCACTGTGCATTGGCCACCTTTATTTCCCAGACAAGTCGCCACTGAAAACTGAACCCTTTTTTCCAATGACAGTTCAGTGCCTTAACCACTAATCAAGCTCTCTTTTAAAATAATTATAAAACAATTATATACTCTTATAATTAAAAAACAAAGATGTAATTTTGTCGATAAAATTTGCCTGGTAAGAATTTTTTTTTTTTACTGAATCTATAGGAAAAATATATATTCAGAAAAGATGTAGAAATCCTTTATTTAAAGAGAACTTACTAAACTAAATAAAACCTACACAGCTTAAATTAGCTCTAAATATATTAAATTTTTATCAAAAATTATAGAACATTAAAGAAATTTTTTTTACAAATATCTAAAGCTTATTTACTTTAATTAGAAACAAATTAGAAAAGAAAGAATTTGTTTTTTTTTTTTTTTTG